GACAAACTTGCTTCAAATCTTGCTCTTCAGAGAGCTTTGCCGTTAAGATGATGTAGATGGCCCACACTTGCCAGGTATGTGTCATTATTTTGCCTAAAATTTGAAACACAGTCAGAGCAAGTGTAAGATGYATAGTTAGTGTTGAATAATTTATATTTTGGATGTAATCAAAACATAACCCTTAGCTATCTTCCCTTTTGAAGATACTATGAAAACATGTTTTCATTGTAAACTACTAACTCTTAGCACTTCCTTTGTATTGCCACAGCCACCCACTCTGCTATTGGTATTTTCTCTGCTTTGCTCAGCAATTCAGGTCTGTTCAGACCCAGCAATGACAGAGACAAGGGCTCTTGGAATCTCCTAAGGATCAGCAGAAGGACTGGATCACCTTTTTCCTGCCCTGCAGTCTGTACTTCATCTTCTGAACTGACCTGATTCAATAGGATTCAAACAGTTGCATATTCTCTATCTCACTTTTCTATCCACCTCCATTCACGCTTCTCATTATTCTCAGTTGACTTGGCTTTTTGTATTACATAGCTTGCCAATATATCCAGTCCTTCCTCCCTCCCAACAGAGTTACAGTAGTTCCACTGTCTCTCTGAGGAGTTGGAAAAACATTTTTTTTTTAGCCTTGGAGGACTGTTTTCCTTTTAAAATCCTCGTTTTACACTGAATTGTAGCCCTTTCTCAATTATATACGGCTTTTTTGACAAAGATCAAAGAACACTTGTAAAGTATGAGAGAGTCTTCCCCAAACTGTCACAAGATGAGTGGGAGGTCAGTATTTCATTGAGGATGAGAAGAGTCAACCAACCTCAAAGATGCTGATGAGAAGATTCCCAAAGATCATCATGGGTTGTGTATATGGTTAGTTTGRTTAGATTGACTCTTTGAGGAGCACTTTCTGCTTCAGTTATCCCACTGAAACTCAGGGCTGATCTACTGTAGTTTGAATTCATATCTTGATTTGTTTTACAACAGCTGACCCATGCAGACAAGTTCATGTTGGCAAGTCCTGTCCTGTGTTAGTCTTAACCAGAGTTGTTTTAAATTATTCAAAAGTGGCAGAACTAGCTGTGACTAGACCCATGGGAAGAGGAAGAAAAGATGTGGATAACTTTTTGAGTCTTTCCATTCCTTCCTACTTGAAAATCTTCCAGTACTTTAACCTCGTGTACAGTTTTCTGTAATCTCTCTCCCCTTCTGCTGTAGAGCTCTGGCTCTTGATTCCTCTCTCCTGTCTTTAGATATCCACAGTTGAGATCATCATGTCATCTAAAGTCAGTGGAGGGAAACTACAACTTTAAGGGACTATTCACATCATCTAATTCAGACACTCATTTTAAGATGTAACAATTGCAAGAGAAATTGCAATACCAGCATAAAAAGGAGTACTATATCTAGATAAGCCAGCTGTTATATAAGATGTATATAATTGAGAAAGGATTACAATTCACCCAAGTCAATCCCACTCTAAAAAAATAAAATCTGTAGTCACGCTTACCTGCTGTTGAGCTGAGGGTCTTTTAAAGGCCTTCTTTGGTCATTTCAGGTTGGCTGGACAACACATAGCTACAGATCATATAACCAAAACTACTATTAAAATCAGTTTCACAAGCAATAAATTTAAGTGGAAATTTTAAAATGAAGCCCAAATTTCCATAAAAATACTTACTATTAGAAAAAGAAACAACCATGCAACCTGGCTCAACCAGGCTCATGAAAATGTATCTATAAGCAGATTATTTGCAGATGGAACATTGGCAGAATAGAAGGGAATTAGCCAGGTCCAACATTGGACGTACCAGAGGAGCCTAACTGCTCTCCACCTTACCATCTTGAAAGGACTGGACTGCAGGACAAATCCCAGTTAGATGTTACAAGGAAGCACTTMTTTATCACCACGTGCCTGAGCATCTTCCCCAGGCCTCTTCTGATGTCTGTAACGCAGCGCCCCAAGAACGTCCCATTTTTACATCAAGTTATTTTCAACCTCTCTCTTGCCAATCCTGTTCCTATCTAATAATGCAGCTTCAGACTCTGAATTACAGAGTCCTTTCAGTTCCCTGCCTACCCACACACAAATACAGCCCCCCTCCACAATATCATCATGCTGCCAAGGAATTGCTTTTCCTCACTGCATTAGGAAGAAATGAATAATGCTGGCTAGAAATTGGAATGCAGTTAATATAAAAAGGGAATTTGCACAGGTGCTGTTGTGCTTTAAGGGACTGTGATTAACTAAATTTGAAAACCGTTTCTGATTTAGGGACAAAAGAACTCTGAATGTACCTGAAGACTCGGGTATCTTTCCTGGCCCAGGCCAGGCCAGTACAGAATGTGATTTTTTTTTTTTTTTTTTAGTGTCAACAAAGAGCATCTATAAATATTCGTGGCGACAGCTAAATTAAATCATTCRTGTAGAATGCAAATTGATCCTAGATTGGGAAACTGTATCGCACTAAAAGAAGCCAGTTAAGTTTTAACAGCATTAAGCTGTTAAACAGCTTCAGCAGTGTGAAAGGTCTAAGAATCAGGTCACCTACAGACTTGGGAARGTTGTTGCTTTCCATTTAGTTGTGTATGGATTATGTATATCCTGGGTATCACCCACCAGCATTGCTTTAACAGTACACATCTGAGCCCAGTGCCTGGAGATCATCGCTTTATGATCCCTTCCCTGGGTGCATTCTCAAAATAAAAAAAAGCCCATGTTCGAGCCCAGCTTTCCCTGTGGAAGCAGTAATAACTTCAATATGCAAGTGGGACAAAGCACTTACAAGGCACACTGCAAAGAGAAAACCATACAGAAGAGGGACCACCCAACCCAATCCATCTCTTTCTCATGTTTTTTCATAAGGCAGTGTCCTTCCTCCCTCTCCCTTTCCCTGGAGGACATCAGGGTGCCCCTGTGCACGCAGGGTGCCTGCCTTTTGCTGCCTACATGCCAGCCAGCTGTGACTGCACYGCCCAGCCCCGTGGATGCCAAGGGTCTGAAGTGCTTTCCCTGGCCCACACTCCCTGAAGGAGCCAGCCCCCAGGAGCCTCAAGCATCATGCATCAAGCCCAAAGCAGAGAAGCAATTAGACCCTTCCCGCTGCCCTTTCCTCCTACTTTCCGTGGCTTTGCAGCTCCTCTTTCTCTCCTTGCATCTCCAACCTCTGTCTGCCTGCAAACTCACCTCTGTGCAGATAGGATTCGCAGGGACTGCAGCTCAAGCTCTGGTGTTAGCGTGACAGTTTTGCCCATTTCATCCTTGAACTCTCTCTCCTCAGTCGCTCCTTACTCAACTTCCTCTCTCATTACCGTTTCTTTTCTGCTTCACATTTCAACYTCAGCTACAGAAGTAGGGAAATTCCCACCTATGAGAACCAGTTAGCATAAGATCACTAAGACTATTTTAACCACGTGAACCCATAAAAGTCTGGGTCTTTGCTAAAGGCATACTCTACAAAAGGCAAGGCTGCTCCTGCCTCTGTCTCAAACTCTCTTCAAAATGACCAGCAAGATACTTTTCCCTTCTTACCTCTAGGCATCCAGCCTCCTGATTACCTTTATCAGCTGCTCAGTGTTTGCTACCAGTCAATTTACTCAGCACTTACCTGGAGTTCAGACTTGATCAGCCGTTGAGTAATTCTCACCGAGACAGTGAGTAAAAAACCCTTTTGTAGCAGACTTTGGACTAACACAAGAGATGTCCTTACAATATGAAAGTAAAACCAAGAACTGAAAGCAGAGTTTACACGCTACCCTCATCAAATTATAATATTACGTGTACACAAATATACACATATATGTGTGAATATATACAGACATTTTATTTATTTGAATATCTGAATGTACACGTGCACTCCCAGAGACACTGATACAAGCAATTTCCAAATTTTCCAAACACTCACCTGCAAACATCCCACATATCAATGCTTTAGCATATCACCACCAAATAATTACATATATAAAGTTTAACTAAAGTTCATTTACAGTCTTTTGTACATAAGCTCCAGCAGCGCAAGCAAAGTCAAGTATGGAAATACTGATTGAGAAGAACCCACAAACCTTACACCTTTTCAGAGATAGATTTCATATTTCTACACTAACCTCTCTGAGTCATGAGAAACAGAGGAAYGTAGGCTCCAGGCGCTCAGGGTAAGAGCAGCTATCCGAAGGTAAACATCCACATCTACCTATTTCTCTAGATTCCCTTTATAATTAGTGGAGAGCAGTACAGCACTTCCAGAAGATACTTTGCACTGAAGTAGGAAGATGAATTGCTCCTTATTGGAGTTTATTTACTCCGCTGATTATAAAAGGAAAGTATTTAGAGCTGCAAGAGATGCATGACTCAGTGATTAAACGTGCTGTGCAAAAACTCAGAAACAAAAAAGAAATAAGCCAGCCTGCCATTCCATCTAGCCAACTCATTAGAAAAATATGCCTTTCTGATAAAAGCAGAAAGCTACAGTTATCTCAGTGGAGCACACAGAGGAGAACGTGAGATTCTGAATGGAGAAACAACCCTTCCTAGGGAAAAACTAACCTAAAAAAAAAAAAAAATCAGTGGTTTAACAGTTTCAGACTTGACTGCTCTCATTGTGCAGTGTTCCAAAATGTTTCATGCACACAGTACTGAATAAAGCCCAACCTGTGTGATACTATGAACTCCAAAGTAACAAKACAAAATCACAGACTAAATATTTAGTACTGTCCTTTTTGTCTTGCATATCAATAGTACAATTTCATAGGGCCTATTTTCAGCAAAATCCTCTTTCTTACAGTATTTTACTTTTAATTGTCTTGCTATCTATGTTGATATGGAAAATAAAGTAAAAGAGAACTGAAAAAAAAAAGAAAATACTGAAGTAGTTTGTTTTTATTTTCCTTTATGAAAAAGAAATGTATTGTAAGGAACTATTGGGAGATATTAAAGGAGAAAGACTCAAGAAATATACTAAATTCAGCTAAGTGTATTTAGCAAAATGTCAAGTCCAGAATGCCTCACTGATTTTAAAAGATCAGCGTTTCAACAGCTTTGGACACCTTCAAGTTGATCACTTTCCTTAAAGTGAAGAATTGTTTCTACCCACAGCAAAGCCAATCCTCATGAGGCAGAAAAAGAAAACAAGCATTTCATAACACACAAAAAAATAACAAATATCCTTTGGCGGCACTGAGCYGAAATACGGCTTAAAGACTTGTTTTACGATTTCAAGGCTGCTTTCAGGTTTTTCCAAAATATTTGCTGCTGCTCTTCCTCACCAGAAGGCCACTCCAGGTAGGTTTTTGTGTTCATTATCTTGCGCAGTTTGCAGAACCTCTTGGGAATGTCTTTGCCCTGGATGGGCTCCAGGAGGATGAGAATCGCCGCGTCGTTGTTTTCATCAAAGAGGCGGAAGTGCGAGAAGTCCAGCTCGTATTTGCACCACTCGCTGCGCACAAAGTGCTCCGACAGCACAAACAGCGTCTTGTGGCTYTTCTCCATGGAGTCAATGATGTTATCCACAATCCACTTGCCGGGCACAAAGTCCCGCTTATGGAGGCACAGGCGGAAGGGCGGGCAGGCCCGCTCCAGCTCCTGCACCATGATGTTCTCCACCCACTCGGAGTCATGCTCGCTGTAGGAGACAAAAGCATCGTAGCAGACATCCTTTGGGGGGCCTTGGCGGGGCTTACGCTTCGCCCGCAGCCAGGCCCACGTCATTCGCATGTACCAGAGCACGTGGTACTTGTAGCCCACCACCACCAGCACCAGCACGAGCAGGAAYACCAGGACACAGATGAYGGACACAACGAGCGACCGGTAGCACTCCATGGGGGAGAGACGCACCGCYCCAACCTGGCGTCCTCGCACCGCCAGCGGAGAGTCACAGATGTAGCTGTCCGGCCAGCCCACCAGCATTTCACCTATCCCGGCCTCATGGTGAACGAAGGACAGGAATTCACAGGAGCAGATATAGTTATTGTCCCTGGCATCCAGCCTCTGCATTTTCTTAAAGGACTCAAATTTTTCCTTGGATAGGCTGTTGAGCATGTTTCTTCCGATGCTCATGACCACCAAGTTGGGAATAGGTGCAGCATCAGGCAAGGTCTTCAGYTGGTTTCTTGCAATGTACAGCTCCYTGAGAAAAGGCAGCTGCAGCCCAAACTCCTGCAGGTTGTTAGCGCTGACGTCCAAAACTTCAAGRGTCTGAGGAATGCAGGTTGTTAATTTAGGAATTTGCGTGCTGGAGAGGTTTAAATGCTTCAGGTTTTTTGGCCATTGACAGCTGTCTGGAATCTCTCTAAACTTATTTTGACTAATGTCAAGATTAATAAGTTTGGAGAGATGACTTAAATTTTCTGCAGTCTCTTTTAGAGATTTGAGAGAATTTTGACTTAGATTTAAAGTTTCCAATAAAGGCCAAGCACCTCCACAGGTTGTCTCAGATAAGCGATTATTTACAAGCAAATTATCATGAAAATCAAGATACAAGAGTGACAAAAAGTGCTTTGCAAGATTGCACGGCACCATGAAAACTCTAGAACCTGCAATTCTGAGTCTTTTCAGGTTMTTTACTTGTGATTCTACACCCTCAAGATCCCTAAACTGATGAAAATATGGAATTGTTATATTTGTTATTGATATTGTTTCAACAGAACTTGGACCACTGCTTATAATTTCTTGAATATTCCAAAGTCCTTCTCCATCAAGCACAGAATCTATTATCTCTAGCTCTTTCAAAGATTTTATTTTCTTGAATAGCACCATTACTCGGCTAATATATCGGTCAGTGAACTTAACATCTTTAAATGTAACTTTCTGCAACATGAAAGGAAGTGTAGAATTSTCTCTCAAATTTTTCTTTTTAATATCCAGTTTGATTTCTCTCACTTCTAACCATACAACAGAGTGCAGAAGATCCTCTATAATTATTGAGAAGACATTCACACTTTTTAGGTTGATGATCATGTGGTCTATCTGCCTAAYCCATTTCAAACTTCCTGGCTCATACCGATTCAGATTGCCACCATCAATCCACAGCTCGTTGAGAAGCGAAAGGCCCTCAAAGTTTCCCTGCTTTATCGTGGAGAACTGGTGATTGCCCACGTAGAGAGAGGTCAAGTTTCTCAGGTTAGAAAAGAGGGAACCTTCCCCCAGGTCCYGGTAGAAATTGCCTTGAATGTTGAGGTGCTGGAGGGCAAAGAGGTGCCCAAACCACACAGGGGACAAGTGAGACAAGCTGTTATTTGATAAGTCCAAGAGCTCCAGTTTTGCAAGGCAGCAAAACGAACCCTCCTCTATTGAGCCAATTTCATTGGACGACAGCAGCAGGACTCTCAGGTTCACAGCCTGCTGCAGATCACGTGCTCGGATGAGCTTTATCCTGTTRTGGGCCAGGTTTAACYCYGTGACTTTAGCTGTGAGCCCTGAAGGAATGAAATTCAACCCCCTGGAGGAACAGTTGCAAAACTGAGTGGCGTCACATGAARGACAAACTTGCTTCAAATCTTGCTCTTCAGAGAGCTTTGCCGTTAAGATGATGTAGATGGCCCACACTTGCCAGGTATGTGTGATTGCTGATGTTAATGTTTTTCTGTAGGAAACAGAAAGGAGAAGAAAGAACGTCTGCTTTTATTTTTGAACAGCGATTGAAAGCAATCGAAATCCATTGTAACTTTGCCAGGAAGTTCCGATTATAGAGTTAGTTTGTGATAATAGTCTTCATCTCCAAGTTCAACTGCTCAGTCTTGGAAATATAGGGCACTACTGATCTTTGAAGCACAGCCATACCATATTTGAACTCTCAGAAAGGATCGTTTTGACAGTCCTGTATTCTCCTACATAAATTCACCAAAACTSCAGTATCTTAGATCTTTAGCATTATTTCTTGGTAATTGTTAGCAATGCCCATTGCCTTAGCAGTGTTAGCCAACTCATTGATTATTACCAGCAGTAAGTGCCTGAAGGTAAGGACAGAGCCAAAACGTGGAAAAGGCACAACTGCTGGGCAGTCCACAGCACGTGCTCATCATCTTTTCACTTCAGAAGCGGTGTGGACTTCCTAGCCTGCCAAGAGGTTTCTAGGTCGCCCACAAAAGAGGGCTTTCAAAAGGCCGAGCATGTTCCTGGCACACTCTCTTACCTTTTACATAAGTAATCTACCTTCTTTACTGAAAGGCAGAACAAGCTGATATCCAGCCAAACAAGGCTAACACCCTTTTCTGTAAATCAACCCTTGATTGKAGTATTAGATTTTACTGTCACCTTATAAACAGTATATGTAATTAAAGCAATACTGATTTTAATCTACAGAAGGGCTATGTTTCCTGCTATTGGTGCCAAAGAACATTCCACCATTGGCTGCACCAGAAAATAAGTCACTTATTAAAGTTCACAAGCTGCTGCGTACAGCTTCAGTATTGCAGATGAACAGCATTCCCAAATCCTGAATACGTAGAAAGTAAATATATTTGCTTACCTTGTGTACTCCATATTGTACTTCTGTCTAATTCTGTACAGGTCATGTACTCGAGGATCCAAGTAGTCACTTCATACCTGCAGTTACAATAAAAGCTGGAAACTCTTTGGCAGGTCTAATGCAATGACAGCCCTGAAGTAAGAAAATATTTTGGCTGTGCTCCTCAGGCAAAACTTTATGTTGACAGTTTCCTAATTTGTAAACTATTCAGATGTCCAACAAATAGTAGTGGTTTGCAGAGCTTTTTCTTTAATAGTCGCAGTCCTAACAAAATCATCACCTGAAGTCTGCATGCAACTTGTGAAATGCACCATTCACCACACCACACTTCAAAGGCAGATTTCAACCACTTCTATTCCTGCTGTTAAATGAAGACAAAAAGATAAGCACAGTTCATTCCTGAATTCTCTTCTTGCAAGCTGAAATTCAAGTGCAGCTCTGTGCCCTTTGACAGTCAGGTCCCATCAGTGAAACGGCTGATGCAACCATTTTGTGCAAGTCACTCTTTCATAACCACTTCCTGAAGCATTAAGTGCAGAAATAGTTTTTAGATGGAACTGCATTTTGCTCYCTGTACCTCCACTTTTAAATTTAAATGGGAGGTGTTTACTGTACTGAGTGACAGAACATCTCTTCTGTTATGTAGGTCCTACAAATTATTAATAATATACACAAACACTGCAGTCAAATTATTTCCTCATAAAGAACACCAAAGAAATACTTTCCACCATTTCATTTCCAAGAACACTGTAGTCCTAAGCTATCAACAAATGAATGCATACAAAATGAAACAATATTCTGTCAGGGGAAAGAAAGTTTTGAAAGAAAGAAAGTATTTCTTTGTAAACATGTAAGGCATTTTTGAAATGGGAGGATTGATGATATTTGTTTTAGCCTGACTGAATGGAAACACACTTCAGACCAAAGGGCTGTCTCCCTACATACAAGAAAGGGTAAAAATTCTTCTTACTAGTTCTGAAAAGGAAACCTGTTCCATTCAAACATGAAACCTTTCTACTGCAGCTTTTTTTATTTTATTTTTTGTCATGTCACTGTGTAGTGTCGTAGCCTGCTACATGCTTGCACTGAAAGGTATCTCCCTGAAAATATGTACTCAGGAACCAGCTCTTGCACCTGCCCCACATCCTTATCTGTTTGCCAAGGATGACAAAGCCCAGACTGAAGCCTGAGTGTGTCTCATAACAATCTTTCATCCTGCTAGAAAATTGCTAATTAGACAATTAACAYTGCACATTACTTGTTTAGAATTAACATTGCATATTAGGCTAAAATCTCAAGATTTTCAAAAAAAAACCAAAAAAGAACAAACTGAAAGGATGAGATACCCTTGAGTTTTCCATTAGTAACTTAAGAAATACAATAACTGTAACAACATTTTTTTAAGTAGTTTGCCTGTTCAAATGGCGAGGCACTTGAACACAGCTGTGGAACATATCAGAGAAGGGAAGTGTTTTTTTTTAGTGAAGGAACACCATCAAGTTCCCAAAACCTGACTCTTCCCTCTAGTCATCACTTGAGTGAAATAATTCTTGTTTTTTTTTTTTTTTTTTTTTTTTAGAGAAAATATTTTTAGATTTCAAAACATTTAAAAACGTTTTAATTCTGACTTTGATGCAACTAACTTTAGCAAGGAGTTGCAGTTTTGATGACAAAAACAAATATGTGTGAGTCATACAAATATGATAGTTAAATTTGCAAAGACATTTGAAGAAGGCAACATATGAGGCCATAAAATGGTAGAAAATATATATATATATATATTTTTTTTTAGAAGTACTGCTTCCTCTTAACATTTGGTCTTAGCTCATTCTCATTACACTTATAAATCAGGCCTTGGGGAGTGATTAATTCAAGGCCCAGTCAAGGGCTTTATAAACTGCCAAACTCAGCTGGATGTGTGACCATGCTCACATGATGCCCAGTTCCTGAAAACAAACAGTGACACCCTAATCCAGCTGTGGCTACTCCTGATYACAGGAGTCTGAAATCCAAGGGAATCAAGATGGACTTTTTCCATAGATGTCCAACTGCTTAGGACCAGTTAGGCTGTTAGGGGATTTTGCTTTCTCTCCTTCTTCATGGCACCAACAGGRCAACAAGACTAATTAGTCTCACAGCTAACTCATCTGAGATGTGGCTGGTGTCTAGATGAAACCTGGTGCATCAGTCTCTGACTCGACTTAGGAGATACAACTGCAGAAGGCAGTGGTGGGACCTGGAGCCATGTCTCTGGTCCTGCCCGTGGCAGGGACCATAGGCAAACAGACGGATTGCTTCAGACCTGGCCCAGGCAGGTCTTCTCTCTTACATGGTACCCACTGACCAACTACATTTCCTCAACTTCACATCAGTCTTGAACCTTGGCTGAGAAAGACTTCATGGTCATACACRGGCAACTGCAGTGCAACAGAGGCTTTTCATTTCTCTAAGAGATAGAGAAATGGAATCACCTTGACCTTCTTTTCCCACGTCACAATCCACACATGAACCAGCAAGCTGCTTAAAAAGCCAAGAAATCCATACGATTGCACCACTTGTTTCTATCAGCAGGGAACAGATTGTAAGATCTCTCTTTTCATCGCAAGCCAATTTACCAACCTTTATTAGGTTATCTGGAGTCAGAAAGGTCCGAGAATGCTGAAGGAGACCAGAAACATTCTCCACAGCTGCTCTAAACACAGAGCCTGAGTACCAGCCAGTTGCCTCCCTCATCATCCGCTTCCAAGATGAGCTGCAACACTGGGCTGAAAGCAACATAGCAACTGAAGTATGAGCAAACTTGCTTTTAAGGTGGGAATACAGTTTGTCTGCTATTTATACCCCAGGGTGTCCTCACAGTCAGTGTAGAAGCGAGTGTCTTCTTTCTCCTCCTCCCTTTCCTGGTTGAAGTTATGACTGTGCTTCCTCTTTTACAGTGCTTTCCAAAGGCACATACTTTCACCAGCACCAGTACGTTATGTTTTCCCAACAGCTGGTCAGAGAGCCACAACCAGCTTCTCTGGAAACCACCAGTGTTTCGAGCACAAGGGGCACAAAATCCCCTTGGCAGGAGGGATTTATCRCAGCCTAGGCCTAAGGCAGAGCTGTGGTGATCACTTCTGAAGCTCTCTCGTTTTAAATTTTACTGTTGACCCGATAGCAGAAAAAGAAAGACACGGTTCTGTCAGCTGGCTATTCCCTAACTTCACGCCATGTCTCTCTCCCAGGAGTGCAGTCAGGGCATCCTGGCACTGCTGCTTCTAGCAAAGGGACAGACCACTGCCACAACTGCCCTTCACACTGAACTGCTTCTCCTGGACAGGGCAACTACCAGTGATTTGCAGGGAAGGGAGCTATTGGATGGAAGCACCGGAATAGACCTGAAAATATAAATACATTTATGTTTTTATGCAGGACAGAACTCCACAGAAACATACTTATCAAAAGTATCATCAAAGGTTATCGAAACCGCTAAGCTCGTGTTAATACTAGTCCTCAGTCAGCAGGATCACTAGGTTTATTTCACCCTTCCATCCTCACCGTCTCCTCCTCCTGCAGTTGTGTTGTATCCCTCTGGGAACTTGGCTCCCATCCATCAGAGTCCAGTAGCTAAAGCTCTGCATTCCTCTCTCTCACAAAGGCAGAAACTTATTTCTCCCCACCCTGCAGTACACCTGGGCACGTCAGACTTTTTAAAGCACTTCTTCCTCACAATCCCATCTTAGGGGCAGACGATCCTGCAGGGAGTCCCTTCCCTTCTTCTCTTTTCTCCTGTATTTCAGCATCTACATTCAGAACTGTTGTCATTCCCCTTTCTCATTTAGGAGATGCAGAAAGCATGAGGAAACAGTGCAGAAAGAGCCTATCAGGTTGCAAGCATCACTCTCCCACCAAACTATGTCTCAAAGAAAAGGTATAAGTGACAGAATAGGGAAGAAAGTCCACGAATCCATTGGACAGCCTGCAGGACCAGCAGAAATCCCTTCCCRATCTTTGCAAGCAGTGCAAACCTTGATACTTACTCCTGGTAGCTAGGACGTATCAGCATATCAGTTTGGCTGCAGCTACGCCAGCTGGACTGAGCCTGTGGCACCCTTCTTTTTACCCCCTCAGACACGGCTGGCRAGGAAAAGAGTTCAAAACAAAGTTTGCAGTCTTTGGAGCAGGAGCTATAATACTTGTGTAATTGAAAGCAGAGGGCTTGGCATCATTTCATGATTCTGGAAGCAAAGCCTCGGCATGCACCCAGAGTGCCTATGCTTCTAGCTGGCTTGCAGTGCTTCGGGTATTTGACTTCAGCAACAAGAAGAGGAACATTAYAATGAAAAATAAACAACTTTAATTCCATTGTGTTCCATATTCTGGACTCGAATCTCATGGTTAGATTTGCAGATTGAAAGTTTAAATGCAGAGGAACAGATTCCACGTATTTTTCTTTCAGGATATCCTGGTTTTGTTGTTGCAGCAGAGCACGATAACAGCAGAGCGCCTGGGCTTCAGCAGCCAGCCCCTGGACTGCCTCTGCCAAGGAACTCTTTTTTCCCCTCATATTTTTTGGAAAACATTCCATCAGAATAACATGAAGCTGGTTTGCTGCCTTAAAACTGAAGAAGCTAATAGGGAAACCTGCAGGCTAAACTACCAACGCTTCTTCTAATAACATGGAAAGTTCCATGTTCTTTCTTGCATCACTGTGATTCACTAGGAGAAAACCCCACAGTTTTCCCAAAACAGAACTGTTGATTTGTTAAATCCCAAGGAAAATGCATCAACAGAGAACAAGCATTCCATGTACAGGGCAAAATGAAACAACTCAGTTCCCTTCTTGATAATTTAGTAAATGAGATGAAAATAATCTCTTTCTGACAGCAGTGTTGGTCGGGATTTTTGAATAACAGACAGGTACAGAATGTTAAGCACTATAGGAAGTTTTGGGACCTACTATGAAGAGTGCTGTGACAAGCWAATGAACCCCCATCACCCACATCACGAATATGTGCTACCCCGAGCTCCGAGACAGCTCACCTGGAGCAGGTTACTCCAAACATGGCCAGTGGTTAGGCAGATCCTGGTGGTGCTGGACTCCAGCCCCTGCACCCGCRGGTCCCTCAGCGGCACAAACACCGAACACACAGCAGCATCAAAGGCAGCCGCCTCCAAGCGTGCCTGCCGCGGGAGTTCCTGGCATGCTGCAGGGAATAAGGTAAATAGAAAAGTTGTATCACCAACTAATGAAATTCCCTTGGTGTGTGGGGGGGGAGAGGGCTGTCTGGAAATACATCTGGTCAACTATGACTTCCTTTGAATGCTACACAGGACTTCCTGCATCCCTTTGAAAGGCTTCCAGCTCCCAGAAAACATGCAGGGATGGGAGCTGCAAAGGGAGGCAGGTGCCCAAGACCCATAAAAACACTGCTCACAGGAGCCTTGACTTCAGCTTTTCTTATAGGCTGGCTTAGCYTTATCAGCCCTTATATATCCCAGATTCATAACCCTGCATCACTACCTGCACTCCACAGGGAGCCTAAACTGCCTCCAGGACCAGGGAACCCAACACACAGAGGTCATTCCAAATGCACCATCCATCACCTCCGCAATACGGGCTCCAAGCATGGCATAGCTGAGGACTAATTCTGTAAAACAGGAAGGAGCAAGCAGGAGAATCCAAAAAAAMGTGTGTTCTTTTAATGCATTTTCTTTGATTTTCCCGCTACTAACTGGTTCGATACTATCAATATGCAAAGCTACTACTTCAGCTTCCTGGACTCCTTCAGAAATTAAATTTGTACAGTTTTCATAAGCACCACCTGATGAACATTTCGAAGGGCTTCTCCCTCTCTGTCCAGACACTGCACTGCTGTCGTGTCCAACAGATTTCACAGGTGTTGTGTCGGAGCAGGGAAAGGAGGATCCTATCCACCATGCGCGCAGTTGGACACCTTCTGCTTCATTTCAGGAGAGAAAATACTCTGCCACGGTCCACCCAGGGTGAGTCAGCACTAGCAGCCTCTTGTCAGGAAGTTTGGGTTTAACATCCTAGCAAAGGAATTGCCTGCGAGAAGGAAGAAAAGGCTTCATTCAGCTCCAAGGAAAGGTTATTTCGAGAAAGGTCGGACATAGGGACGTGCATGTTGGCAAGTATGTTCCAGAATGGTCCAACGTGGCTTGATCTGCATTGKCTGCTCAGTGGGTATGTGGAAATGTGTCTATCTCTGTTAATATACTGAAAAAATGTTTTATTTTATTTAAATGCAAAGAATCAAGTCAWGGCAGGACCAGCTAGAACCGTTTCCTGTACACATATGGAAAAAACATGCTAGGATGTAGAGATGCACTTTTAATTAGTTGCTATATAATAAATAAACAAATCATCTATTTAACAGATAAGAATCTGAGGAGAAAGTGAATCAGATCATTATCATATACGATAAAAACATAAAAAAATAAATATTTTTGTATTCATTCCCTTCCCCTCCCCCCMAAAAAAGACAAAAAAGGACAATACCAGGATATATTCTGTATTTGTAGTTCAGATTTTTCATTTGCTTTCTACCTCTCTATATATCTGTTGCTTCAAAATCTTTCAGACACGGCTCTACARAGAGCCAGTCTGTTCTGAATCTTTACTTCTGGTTATTCACAACTGCAGAATTTCTTTCTTTAGTGCATACAATTTTCTTGAYTTTTCTCATCCCACAGCAACATATTTACAAAATACCTCCTTCCAAGTTTTTGGCTACTCAGAAAGTGACATAATTTCTGAGTTTCTTGCAGAGATTATTTACATTATGTTCTCTTGTATTTATAAATTTTTTAAAATTGACTTTTTAGATGTTTGAATGCCACAGAATTGTAGACATCCATTAAAAACAATTTTTCTAAAAATTAAAAAAGCTATTGTCGCTCATTATTTGAAAAGTGTGTGTATAATCTGTGTATAAATAACGTCACCAGACAGCTTCAAATARTTATTTCTGATATCTGATCTTTCCCTGACATTTTAGACTTGAATCTGACTGAAAGCAGACATCCCAGGCTCATTTTCATGCACACACTCAGCTGTTTTCACCATTCCTCCTAAATTATCCGCAGATTGACTTTCTTGTTCTTCTCTGCATTTCCTAGCACTTGATAATATCCACTTAGTAACGATGCTTTTGGAGCTGACCATGTAACTGGTGTGTATCTGCCAATATACCTTTGTGTCTTCATCATAGCATCTAAGGGAAGAAACACCTCGTACTAGGATAGAAACTGCTAGAACAAAGTATGTTTTAATATTATGACGTATCTACATTTAGCACCTTTCAGYTGAATTCCTCTCTAGCACCAAAACAAGGTTGCATGGACTATTTCCATGCAAGGAATAGTGCTGAAATTTCCAGAATCATCTGGAGAGGTTTGTGACAAGCTCCACAATGGTTAATTCTGCTCTCTCAAAGCCGCACATTTAGTCCACAGCACTCCTTTGATCAGAAACGCTTTTATTTTCTCTTTCTATTTCTAGATTTTATCTCAGCTCAGCTACCTGCTGGGTCTTGGTTGCTGTCTGAAGAAAGGCAGCTGGACAGCAGCAGCACACGCCTGAGAACGAGTAGCCCATTCGTAGGGACGCCCTGTTACTCCAGAAGTGATGGCAAGAAACATCACTGACCTGAGAGGACTTTTAGGAATACTTGGTCTAAAGCAGAGACCAAAAACTCACAGAAATAATCAATACACAAGCAGAGAGGTTTAAAAAAAAAAAAAAAAAAGACACACTCTCTTAATTTAAATGCAAATAGATAGCATATAAAAAATGACAAGAAAGATTGTGGTAATATTCTGTAGACCTTTAATAAGCTTAGGATGTATTAGAACTCATGCTTTCAAGTAAATAACGTTCCACAAAGGAAGAGGAACCAAAGGAAATAGCTGCAATATGTAAAAAGCTGCAAATAAAATCAACTTCCCATCCCAGCAGCTAAACCCATAGGATAAGAACAGGTTGGTTAAGAGATGTTCATAGGGATCATCTYATCCAGCCAAGTTAGGCTGGAAGCTGAATCTGCTTTTTCTGAGGAGGAGTACCAACACAGACACACCTCCTACCTTATTGTAGTAACTCAGCTTTATCCTGGGGATCMGAAGATAAAGTGGTGTCTTTCCAGCACTGAATTCATGATACGGTCTGGGTCCATAGGCACAAGGAGATCACTGGTTGAGTCTTAATAGCTCAAGTTTACCAATAACTTACCCACACGACTGGCTGGTTTCTTTTCACCTTATGAATTTACACAAGTGTCAGAGTAAAGATTCTTTTCTCTTTATAGAAACTACTTTGTCTTTTTTCATGCAATACTTTTCACATAATTTTAATTTAACTTCCTGTGTATCTTACRATAAATAGCTTCACTAAGTTTCCTTTATAATCTGTCCTTCGGAGCACTTTATTCCTCTGGGGTTATTTCCTCGAACTCCCCTAGTTGTCAGCTCACAGCTGAGATCAAAACACCAAGCAGAGCACACCTGAGGAGCTCGACCCTCTGCAGAGGGGGCTGCCTCTCGCACCTCCCTGGGCTCTCCACGTTTCCCTGTGTGACAGCTGCCTCTCTGACACTTTGCAAACCTGTTCAACTYGATGCTTTCCAGTTGAATAGCATATTTTATACTAAGAAAAACGCAGGGAGTACTGGGAGATAGAAAGGATATGATGAAGGGCTGGAGTTAGCTGGACCTTTCCTCCATTGTTCAGAAATCTAAGTTTTCATTTAAAGTAAGGTTTTCTTACACTTACTATGATGAACGAGTGAGACGTGTTCTCTGTTTCTGCAGGTGAAGGGTTTGGAAATTCTGTCTGCAGCCTGGGCAGCCCCTTCTCTTTCATAGAGAAGCCTGCAGGGAGCTGGCTAGCCACACTGCTAGACAAGGAAAGCAAAAATAGCGAGCTCATACCTTTTCACCAGTAACAGGACAGCACTGGCGGCAGTGACTAATCCTGCGTAAACCAGTTCTGCAACAGGCTGCCAGGATTAAGGGAAAAGGGAGTGTTTCCACCCATCTGGACTCTATGGGGCTCCTCCTGCAGAAAGGGTCTTGCACCAGCTGAAAACTGCACCAGATACCCTGAATGGGAAGGAAACACTTTGTTCTCTGCTCTGCTTTTTACTCCTATTAGGAACTACCAAGAAGAAACTCTCCATCCCCCCAGCACACAATCAGTGATAAAATAATCCTTCTCCATTTACCTTCTATAACTTCACTGGCAAAGCAGTGTATACAATTGCTGCCAAGGTTAATATGCAAGCATATTAATCCCCTCTCTTGCTAGAGAGTCTTTCCAGACACTGCTTAAGCCTTCTGCTGGTGGCYGCGTGCAGGGGCAGGTTTGTGTAAGAACGGTTTTTTATAAGCCTCTCTGTGGGAGAATGGCAGCAAGCACTTAATTTGAAGTAAGTGAAGCACTGAAGGGCGAGGTACCCGCTAGGTTTGCCATGCCACTGACTTTTTCCATCTGCAATACTTCATTTGCACTGTTTACTTTGGCAAACCGTCCTTGGTAAACATCACAAAACACTGAAACCAGGAAATAATTAAAAAAAAAAAAAAGGAAAAAAAAATCACTACTAGCCCTTCCTTTGTCTTTCTGAGAATCAGCCTTACTCAAACCAAATTYGGCCATTCTGACACAAGCAAAGCACATTTGGAGGCCCAAATGTGGGAAACTTGCTACAACAGAGGGAAAATGTTTCCTTGGGGACYGGCAGTGGTGGCACCTCCCTGTGCACAGGGCAGTGCCCGCTCTGTACCTCTGTGCTCAAGTATTTGAAAAATCACGGGCTGCAAAACACTGCCACGCCACACCAGATGCCCTGCAGTCACAGCAAGATGAGGGGTTCTTTTGCTTTTTTCGTAAGTTAGATGTTTCTCACCTCAGAGCTCCCTAAGGGGATTTTCTGCCACTTGGATTCTTACTTTTCCCTATACATTTTGCTAGGAGAGAGAACAACCTTGCGGTACTAAAGCTGTTCGTTGTGCCCAGTATTTACTCTGTGATTAAAGGGGCCCACACTGTATTTTAAAGAAAACATCTAGTATTTAGGCTGCTGAGGTTTTGCAGAGCATATCCTGGGGGTTGTTAGCATTCTTTGCTTTGGGAAGGAGAGGAAGGAGACTGAGAGGAACCAAAAAACCCTGGATCCTCCAGATCCTTCTCTGTAGCTGGAGGGATCCAGCACAGTTGTGTTGCACAAGTGCATGGATTTCCTTAGGCCAGAATTTCCAAAAGCAGCAGGGCAGACTGCCCCTGCATGCAAATATGTTGACATTAGCCCACTCTGAAAAACAATAACCTTCTGATTGAGATGAAAAAAGAAGATTACAGAGATTTACAACACGGATAAGCTAATGCTAATAATAATAACAACAACAACAACAATAATAATTTGGGGAAGATACTCCCTACCTGCTGCACTGCCTCGCTGAAATTTTTGTAAACCTGAAGACTCCTAAAGCWAACCTCTGTGAAGGCTCCTGCAGCTGAGATACTGAAGAAAAGGAAGGGTTTTCCTGCTCTCTCTCTGAGTTTTCTGAAAGACACAGGTGATCTGAGAAAAGGAGTAAGCCTTGCAGAAAGGATTAGCAGAAAAGATGCAACTGAGAGCTTAATCATGGGATACCTGTGGAGATATAAGCAGAGTTGAGGCATCCTGGGCATCCTCAGAAGCAGAGCTACCTATGCAGGAGGAACTGTGATATCAAATACTTAAGGCCTYTAGGTACTAAATGCCAAATGAATGTGGGACACCTGAGAACTACATGCTAAATAGTTAAATTACTGAAGTTGGGCTGCAAATTCTGCACAGGTTGCTCCAATCATTGACATAAGACTATGTTGTCTTTAATTCTTATTTCATTTTACAAATATCAGTAAACGTGCATTGCTGATGATCTGCCTATAAAAAGAAAGTTGACTTTCTTTCTTTCTTCATTGAAGACAGACATTAGGATCTAATGGACAAGAAAGACTATCTCTCAGAAAAATCCTTGCCACAGATTTCTTGTATAGATTTTGGAGGCAAGGTTAATCTCCTCCATCTTCTTGCAAAGGTCTTCTGAAAATTAGACCCTAGGCCATTTTGATGAGGAACACAGAGCAAGAGTTGCATTGCAAGATCCAAACTATGCTGCACATTTCCTTCTCTGCTGCCCTCAGAAAAAAAGGTTTTCAGTTAAGCTAAGACTTGACTCCTTTTAAACTCCTTAAGAAATAAAAGATAAAGCAAAAAAAAGAGAAAAACAAACAAAAAGCAATAGAATTAAACCAGATATACAAAATGAAAGTCTATGTCCTGAAGGAAAAAAAAAAAAAAACATTTTTCAGTGAGTAAAAAGGAGCTGAGTCGTCATATACATAGTGACATTCCCCAGTCTTTCACTTAAAGAGCAGAACAAAGAGGCATAGCAGAGAAAGACTTTAAACTAATGTTAGATGTTTGCAGAAAGTAGAAGCAGCTGTTTTGCAGACAAACTAATAAAAGTCAGCATCTCATACTAGAGCAAGCCTTAGCTCAACTATACCTTGAATAAAAAAAAAATAGATTCCAAAACTTATTCTAATTTTGAAGAAATGCCCTCTTCTCCTGGGGGACTGATTATGTTAGACATTATAAATACAGCCTGTCTGAGAAACCACGCTGCAGCCGTGCAAGCCATGGATGCTGTGGTCTGGCCTCTTCTGCATCTCCTTCTGGAAACTAAACGGATATCTGTGCTGAAGTGGGTTGATCCAAACCAAGCATGCTGACATAATCACCTTCTCTAGAAGACCCCCAGCTAGAAAGGTTTCCTCCTTTCATGAAACTCTTATTTATCAGGCGCTTTCTAAGACCTCAGGCTTTCAGACCTCTTCTCTTTCAGTATCTGCTCTATGTGTGAAGAGACACTAGATCCACAATAGTAGTAATTAAAAAAAATACAAAGCAGTCACGAGGCTTTATTCACTGTACGAATACACGGGAGAATGTGAAATCAGTAAGTTAGTCCCATTACTTTAAGGATACATTTGGTCTGACATCTATTAAAATGCATGACTGTATGTGCCTGGCAAGTGCTTCAAAGTTGTTCTTTTGATCTTAACAAAGATAAAACTGTAATATTTTTGTAGGTATATAAGAACATTAGTTACTGGACTAGTTAAAAACCACTTAACTTTTGAAACTGGTGCCATCTGTTTCCTATTTTTATTTATAGAACTCAATACCAGTCTCTTGAGGACTTCTCTAGCAAAACTCTCTCATATGAAATATCAGCGGTGCTCAGATAGTCAGTCTCCTTGATAGGTTTGTGGAAAGGGCTGGTCATGGACAACGGACAACTTTCTCAAAACAAGAAAATGCAAGGAGAAAGCCAGAACAAAGATAATCCAAGGACCTTCCACTCATCCCTTAAATGAGTTTGTCAAAAAAGAAAAATGCTGCCTTGGTTAGACTTCAGGCTTCTTTAATATGGTAAGTGGTGTATGAGATTCTTGTAACCAAAAGCAAAACTAAATCTGCAATTCACCGAGCTTCAGTCATTGCGTGAGCACTTCTTGTTCCACACTGACAACAAGGTCCTGAGCATCTTTGTGATCCTGCTCCCGGAAAGGAAAGCAGCTCAGATATGATACATTCCTCAAGCTTGCATTTCACTGAGAAAAGCAATAAATAAGAGTTAACAGATACTTTGCATTGACACATTCACTTAAGAGTTTTGAAGTATTTCTACAAATAATTATTTAGTCCTTTAGTTTATTTACGTAACAACTTTTAGTCATTTAACTGGTAAATTAAAGTCAGATTATCAGAAAGTTTTTTTTCCCATTGATAAAGCAAAAAAAAAAAAAAAAAAAAAAAAAAACAAAAAAAACCACACAAGACTATATAGAACACCCATAAAGGTCAAAAAGATATTTCTTCCTTAAAAAATTGCAAGTTAAGGGTTTGGTATTTCCCTGCAAATCATTACAACATAGCTGCCAAAAGTTGCAAACTGTGGTAGGGCACACATGTCATGAAGTTCAGCTATTATAAGAGAAGCAAAGAACTTGACTGCAAATCTCACTCAGAATGAGGAACTACACCCAAGACCAACAGGAAAAGCTTGTGTCAATCTGAACTCAGCGCATGCAGGCTGCCCACACCCGGCATCTCTGTCAGTTTTCTATTTTAGGTTAAGCTTKCTTCTCGAGATCAGGAATATCTTGGTCTGTAAGCAGTAGATAGTTCAGGACTGCCCAAATGGTACCTGGAAGTTCAAGGTTGGGCCTGAACATGTAAGCAGATTATGCAAGTTAGCAAAAGGGAAGACCACTTATGTAATGTAATGAAGTGCTGATAGAAGGGGATGGCAAAGTGTTAGAAAGTTAGGTGTGTTAGAAAGTTAGAAGTGTTAGAAGTGTTAGGGCCCTTAGGTCATTTTCCATTCACTCACGCTGCTCCGCGCTGCTCCCGGGACGTCCACGTGGCCACCGAGAGCCGCGCTCAAGGGCGAGCGAATCAGCCTGCGTGCGAACAGGAAAGCGGCCGGGGGAACATTGCCACGATCCCTCCTTTCTCACGCAAGCGCTTCCCAGGAGCCGCTAGCTCACGCAACATACACCATGAGCATGCATTTAAGAACGGTGCGAAGGTTAAAGTGTGTTCTTGTTGTTGTTGTAAGGTTCCCTTATCAGTTTCAACATCTGGTTGACACTCTTTGGCACTTCCTACACAGCACTGAAGAACAAAACACCTTTACTTCAACAAGGCTGTGTCGAGTGAGTGATGTGAAATATTTCTCTCAGTAAATCAGAACCAGAAATCAGAGCAGGTTCTTGGGGGATGTCAATAGCCAAGTGTTTCACTACGGCACCCAACTTGCTACGTTCCAGGAAAACAGAAGTATTTTGAATGTTGAGACACCTCCAACCCCAAACACCCTCTCCCCCGCAAACGCAGGGAACACTGTTTGCCTTCCATGTGGCCATTTGGGAGCACCAGAGCCAGTCCAGCGCACAGGCTTCCTGCACATCTGTGCTAACAAGGACGTGTGAAAGCATTAACTTCCCTTCACAAATTGTACGCTCAGTCAAAATTAAAACCAAACCAACAACTCCCAGCAAACCAAGTGTTTCGCCAGCGTGGCTGCAGGAACGTCGGGGAGAGCCCCTCGCCTCACAACGAGGCCTTGCTGGGGCTGAACGTCCCCAAGGCCAGGGGGGACAGTCTCATAAGGGACATGGACTGGCCCCTACTCAAGATGAAGGGGTCACAGGTGGCCTCACTGAAGGGCAGAGGCACTTCTGGTCACTTGCAGACACACCACACTCCTTCCAAGAGGTGCACACACATGCCCTTAGCTGCAAACCAAGCCTGCTTGCTGGTAGATTAGCTGAACATGATTAAATAACCACTTTCGCTAGACAAGATGCTCATCAGCACAGAAGTTTGCCACAACGGCACTATTTTGTACACAGGGGAGTTCCCTGGGGAGGCCTCTTGCTTCATGCCAGATTAGTCCCTGCCTACACAGGCTGCAGGCAGCCTCCAACCAGCACACGAGTGTTTTTGAATAAAACCCCCAGAGATGTGTGGGTCACAGAGCAGCATTATGAAAGCATCCTTGCACTTGAGCAGGTGATTAAAACTGCACACAGCGCAGGGACAAGTCTCTCCACACAAGGAGAAGGGCAGCCACTTATCAGAACCACCCTCAAAAGACTAAAGGTTTTGGAGGGGGTTGTTGTTGTCTTTTAAGAAAGCAAAAACACATGAAATGAGGTAGAGATCATGGAAAAMGCGAGCTGTGGTCCATGCCCCACAGGAACAGAGGCGGTGTTTTGTGGGGCCAGCACGGGCAGCTCTTGCAGAGGAGGAGCACTAAGAGTTCGGCTTCCACTGCAAGGGAGCCGCATCTGCACACCAGCGTTGGGCTGCAGAGGCAGATGTGAACTCCCAAAACATCAGTAGTGACGACAAGGAGCTGGGACAGTAAATCTGCCCCCAATCCCTTGCTGGCCACTCACCTCCTGTTACGCAGCACAGCCCAGCCTGCCCGGGGAGAGGGGCACTGCTGTGTTTTGCACAACGGTATCTCCTCCCGTGCAGGGCTTGGGKAGTAAGGAGAAATGCTGAGGCCCTGCTCAGGCCCTGCCCAGCTGGGCTGGTTACCCCTTGCAGTGCCTGTGAGTGCCCTTCCCTTCCCCTCCCTTCCCTTTCCTTGTCACCGAGCCCAGCGGAGCCCGTACAGCCAGAGCAGACATGGCTGCCAAGGCAGAGGACAGCCACACCACTGCTCTTAATATTCCCCCCAAGCCACTTGTTGAGGAAGAGCAGAGGATAAGCCCCATTCAGGCCAAGAGAGGGAGGTGCCGATCACATCATGGGGTAGGGCTGCAGAAGCAAAGATGGAGGAAAAACGGGTATGTGATAACTTGGAGGTGCCTGTGTGCACCTCAACTGCAAATAGGTCTAAGGAAATGCAAATCTGTAGTGAGGGCAGGAGGATGCTGAAGGTCAAGAAAAGTGAGTGGAGGGGGCTGTCCAAAGGGAAAAGCACGTACGGACGAGCTCAGAAGAGCAGATCTTGCTCACCTGGCAGGACAGCCCCACGGGCTCTACAGCTGCCCCATGCAGAGCAGTGCTGAGGCTTCCCAGGCAGCAGATCTTCATGCCAGGGCTTCTCCCAAGGCAGAGGATGCAGATAGGTGCTGGAGTCCCACACGCTGCCAGCCTCAAGGCTGACACTGAGCAATTCCCCTGCTCCCTCCCCCTCACCTCAGCAGCTTCAGGTCATCAGCTCTCTAACGAGCTTCGTTGGCCCTCTGGCACGCAGACCTCTCAGCTGCACTCAGGTCACATTTCCAGCCTTATTTCCCCAGGAGCAAAGGCTGCTGCTGCTTGCTGCTCCTTCAGGCAGCTAAACCGCTCCTGTACGCACMAGTCCAGCTGCTGGAGCGGTAAAACCTGCAAATCGCCACACTGCTCATGGCAAAGCTGCAGGAATAAGCCACGACAGCCCTCCCTCAGGGGGCAAGTCTGCCTCGTGTCCTTCTTGGCCATGAGCTGAGGCATGGGGCTGTCCCCATGTGGCTGGGAGGGAGGAGACAGCCCCTCTTCTCCACAGGGTTGCTGCAGGACCCCCTGCTGCCCCAGGGAACCCTCCCCTCACCCCCGAGCACTGTCCTGGAGCGCAGCACGCGGCCTGCAGTGACGTGTCTCCTAACCAGCCCTACTGGAGAACACAGAGCTCTTCTGTCCGGCTAGCTTTTCTTTGTGATCTTCAGTATTTCTTTCGTTTGTCAAGTTTCTTTTGGTGAAGATTGTCGGTAAAACAATAAAAGTTTCAGAAAGAACCAAGAATGTCCCAGTCTGACAAAAAAAGATTTCCTGGCACAACGCAGGAAATTTAAAACTATTTTGCACAAGACAACAAGATGTCCTTAAAGCTATTAATTTAAACAGCTCTCCAAGCTTTCTTCTACTAGAGTTAATCTTCCCCTTTACTGCAGGAGGAATGACTTTTAATTGAGCCCAAATCCACTTACATTCAGCAGCTGCTGATTAAGCCYTAGCTGTCTCCTGATGGCAGCAATTATTCCTGGTAACCTTAGCGAGCTTCCTACATTCCTTACATGAAACTTTATAAAGTTATATTTTCACTACTACTACACAGTGTCCGGAGGAATTGCCTAATACTACATAGTTCCCAGAGGAATTGCCTCTTGATCTGATTTGTGTCTTATCTGTACCTTTTTCACATAGGTGCTCTTTCCCAAAGATCTCGAACTTTGGTTGCTCTTCCTGAACTCTCCAGGTGTCTTCGTTGGGTTTATTGCGTAGGTTTTTTTTCTGTTTGTTCTTGGTTTACTTCCCCTCCCTGTCCCCCAAGTGACTCAGTCTGGAATATAAGGGAGTAGTGAGAACAGGGATGGGGTGCTGATCCGAACTCCGGGGGATTCTGGGTTGTAGTTTGTTGCAGATTAAAGAGCTGCATCCCCCATACYGGCACTTGAGGTTTCATTTTGGTGCAGAGGATGGAAAAAAAAATAAAAATTAAAATCACAGACTGAACAGAATAAGCTGGGTAGGGTGAATGCAGTTTTAGGTATCTTCTGTTCTCTTGTGTCTTTGCAGGGCCAAAATTCAATAAACATTACTATAAAACAAGTAACATTACCCAGGGAATAAAGAACTTCATTGCATTTCAAAATAAATGGTCACTTGTTTTTTTCCATATTTATTGTGTATGCACTCCCACTCTATTCCTCCTGAAGTCTCCTGCCATAGGTAATAGTGCACAGAAAGCATGTTAGTGGTTATGACTACTTCTCATGGCTTAATACTGATTTCAGGAACATCCAAGTTCATATAAACACGTGAACTTTGCTTCAGCATCACAAGCAATTACTATTAAACTCCACAGTCAAACAGAATTCTGTCCAGCAAGACACATCATGGAAAGCAGCCAAAGACTCTAAACGCTAGTTCCTGATAAAGCCTTTAAAACACCAAAGCATTCAGTGACGATCCGATTTTTCTGACATTGAAAACACAGGAAGGCTTAGAAGCGCCTTCCACAAGAGCACTTAAAGCAGTTAAATGTAGAAGCTGTCGTATAACCCACCCAGTCACTATCTCCTTCGGAGCTAATTCAAATACACACAAAAGCAGAGCTGGCAGGATATTTTTCAACAAAAAACTTTTTTTTTTTTTTGCAGGAACTGTTGATTTATTGAAACAAACTTTTTGTGAAAACATGCTATTTCTGGCAATACACCTCAAGACTTAGGATGGAATTTCTGACTGAAACCAGCAGGTCAGACAAACTGGGTTTACAGCTTGGGGATTTGATGAGGGTGGCAGAGCAAGAACTAAACCTCACCTTGCTGAGTAGCTTGGCAGACTATCTTTATTTTTTTTCTTTTTCCCTTGGCTTTTCCTCTTCTGCCTTAGAATAAAAACAAATGTGAAAAGCTTTAACATTCTGTTGTCAAGCACCACTCCTGTCTTCTAGTCAGTCTGAGTTCAGAGGACTGGGGGAAAACGACTGAAGTAGCAAGAAGTTATGAACTTGCCTATGTTCACAGCATCCTCAAAACGGCAACTGGAGCCTGGTGGTCTCTCGTCCAACCTCCCCCAGGGAGCGGGACCATCACCAACACCAGAGCAGGTCCCCATGGCTCTGCTGAGCTGAGGGGTGAACAACAGGGAGGTCTGACATGGGGCACCCTGTCCTGCTGCACCAGCCTCCAAGGGAAGCCGTTCTCCCTAGCATTCAACCTGAACTTCCCAGTCTATCCCAATCTGTGACTGCTGCGGGTTGCTATTATTTGTGGTTGCCCCAACGGGTTTGGATCTGTCATCTCTGTAACTCTCCTTCAAGGCAGGCTGCTATTAAATACTTCTTCTGCCCCTTTGTCTCCAGACCCAATCGTCCCACTGCTAGATCTATAAGAATCCAAGCAATTCTTCCCCTTGTTTTGGCACCTGAAGACCCCAAAATACACTCTGCAGTGCCAGAGCAAAAGGCTTTAGAGGATCTGAACTGCTGAACCCAGCTGCAACACTTTCTTGGTTAACTTTCTCACTACAAAGATTCAGTTTCATAATACGAGCTAGCACAATGCCGGTCTGTTCTGGAGAGCGGTGCGAACTCAGCTCTCAAAGAAATGTTTGTTCCAATTCAAGTGTTGGCGTTTTGAACAAGGGCAATTAAACGGACCAAAAACACTATTGCAACATGAAGGCTAAAAATATAAACACTAAGTACCGGGAGTCACTCCCCAGAAGAAATGTTCCTGAAATAAATGCCCAATCACCCCACTGCATAAGCGTAGTATCGCCAAGCTGACAGTTTGGATTTTGAAGCCAGATAAACAAAGCACAATTTAGCCTTTTTCTTTATTGCCAGAAGCTTACACCCACAAATAATTATGTCAAGAGTAAGAGTGGCACTACTTGGACAATATCTGATCTGCCTCAACAGGCAGCTCTCAGTGTTACTGTTTCGTACAGATGCAATTATTTATGGGTGTAATTTTTAYCCACGGATGCTAAAAAACAAAACAAAATTTTAGGTTATACCACAGAATCTCAACTTGATAATAAACATGTGCAATATAGGTTCACATATACTGTTAGGAACCTAATACTTTTCTTATTCTTGAACAATTTTTAATTTTAAATTCATAGCCTTCGTGTGACAATAACAATATCCTGAATATATATCTTGCTTTTTTTAAAATGCACCGAATGCTCAGACGTCAGTAAAAAAAAATTTATTTTCAATATAAAAGTGCCAAAATATCCACCAACATTGTAATCTATTTCAACGACCAGCTTACTCTAGTATTCAAAACTGCAAGCATCTTTATTCACATTTTTAAATCAAATTCCTTTCACACATTTCCACAGTAACCCGAGTCCCTCGAAAGCGGGAAATTTGCATTCCGGTTGGCTGCCGTAGTCCATATGTCCAAGTTCATGTAGGCACGGAAGGGGTTAAACCGTGGGTAGTATTCCTGCTTGCACATCACTGCCTGGTTCTCCACATGGGTCGAATGCTGGGTCGTGGCACTGACAGGGCAGCAGTTTTCATAGACATCACTCTGAGGCGCCCAGATGGAACCAAAAAGTCCAGACATTGGAGACAAGCTTCGGGTGCTGGAGAGGTAGGGCTGCAGAGCAAGATAAAATCACCATGGCAAACTGCAAACAGAGTTTGGCCAACTTATTTTGCCAAATAAAATATGGAAATGCASGAAATGAGAGGAAGAGTTATGCAGAGAGGAAAGTGGGAGCACACAAGTAGAAAACTAAGCCTTAGTTTACAAGGCAATATGGATAAAAGACTCGAGCAGCAGCACTAGTTCACATACATTTCACTAAAGGAAGCCATAGGAACTCCTCTCTACATGGCTCCTATATTACTGTAAGAGCAACACAATATTCACTTCTGGTCAGCTTATTAAGAGGAGACAAATGGAAGGCATGTGAGGAGCACCAAGGTGTGTTCAAGAGGTAAAATTAAAAGTGAGGGATGGCTAAGAAATGACAAGAAAAAAAGGCTAAAGTTTGTGGCAGTACTATAGAGCAGAGGCAGACATTCAGTACAGAAGAAAAGAATATAATTGGGAGCTAGGGAATTTAGCTAGAAAATTTAGAAAGTTCATAAAGAACCTCCTGGAGAGAAAGATCTGTGAGGAAGTCTCCCAGAGAAGGTCATGGAAGTCCTGGGACTTTTAAAATTGAATGAAACACTGAAATGTATTGTCGGGAAAAACTCGCCAGGGAAATGAACTGAATTATCTAATGTATTTTCCAATCTCTATGTTCTGTGTTTCCAGCCATTCCTGAATAAAAATGAAATAACACCACAGTTATTTTAGGAAACAGTCATCTACCAATTTTGACGCTTTTTAAATACAGCAGAATTTTCACTTTTGCACTTGAAAATATTCCTCATTTTACTCAAGAGAAAAATGTGCTGTAAACACAAAAATACCTCTCTAGAATAGAAGATTTGGAAACATGAGCAAAAGAGTGGGTGAATATAAAGGAGAATAAAAAATCCCTGTGAACAGAAGTCAGTCTCATGCCAGGTTATGGGACGGACATAAGCACGGCTRTCTTTGAGCATAAGAGGTGAAGCTCAGCATTCAGAAACGTGCATCAATCTCTTTTAAATCACCTAGATTTGCTAGCTACCTGTCCCAGTCACCGAGATCAACTTCCCCAAATCTCTTTTGGCTTTGCTCTCAGCGCTTATAGTGCTTCATCCTCAAATGCAAGGTTTGCTTGGGGAGGAAAACGCCTCAGTAGCTAAAACCCGAAACACGTTTCCAYGTATAAGATGATTCGGGTCAATTCTCAAGCAAATCGATCTGCCTCCAAATGCTCTAAGCCAAATGCAGGGGGAAGAGCCAGGCCGGGAACACCGGCGTCCCCCACGGGCGTGGAGCTCCATGGGCAAGGGGCGCGCGGGGACGGCGCGGCGCGGGCGCTCACCGTGGAGCTCACGTAGCCGGCGGGCTCCCAGGCGGGCGCCACGGGGGCCGGCGCGCTCCAGGCCGGCGCGCAGCTCTGCTCCACGAAGGCCGTGTTCTGCACCGCGCCGGCGCCGGGGAAGCCGCCGCCGTAATTCATGTTCTCTAAGGAGGGGAGGTAAGAACAGGAATAAAGCTTTGTGTAAACTTCGTTAACCTTTCCACGGAGGAGYGCTCAGTCTTATCGGCGTGAGACATGCCAGAACCAACGGAAGCTTTCGGCAACCTGCAGGGCAGCACGGTGGCTGAGGATAGCAGCTCCCACCAACAAGGCTATCGTTTTCCAYGAGGAACCCACTAATGAATTGCTATCGGGAGCACGGGATAAAGAGCAGGCAGTATCTTCACTGGAGAATGAAGCCTTTATTAGCCACAGGACACGCAGGGCAAAGCTCCCCAGGCCTCCCTGCCAGCACGCCTCAGCGGCAGGCCCCCAAGGGATCGCTGCGCTGCCTGTGATACTGCAGCTCGACCTTTAATTATTGCTTAGGTAATGCTAAAGAACTCTAGGTTCCTGCCAGCGTGCTTCCCCAGCCAAGAAACTCCAGCCTGGAGAGGTAATTGGTCACAGGAGGCCTCCTGCTTCACACGCTGGAAGGCAGAAGCCTGCCAGAGGGGAAACAAAGAAGCTGTGCACAATGGTGCCGTGGCCGCGAGCACCGCTCCCAATCCCCTCTCCCACAGAGTCCTTTACACTGGATCTTTAGGGTCAGTGTTTCTGGAAAGGGACAGTTTTCTCATGAGCCACCACACAGACACCGTTTATTACTACAGAGCACCCAAGCAGCTGGAAACTGCAAAGTCTGCTTAAGCGACCAAGGCCCAGATGTTTGCAGACAATGCCAGCCTTTGTTTCACGAAAGGTGAGAGAAAGCAACAGGCTCGGTGATAATGCATCTATCTCATYTTACCTTCTGGGAAAGCACCATATTCATTCATCTCTAATGGACAATACATGTTGGAAAACTGGCTGTCGCAGGCTGCATTCCAGTCAATGAAGCTGTCTCAACATAAAGAAAATCTGCTTTCAGAAACAATTCACAAAACTTCTGGAAATTATTTAGAAATACTTATTTGCTGTAAAACTATYGGACACAAAACACCTGTAACTAATGATTGGGCTTTTCACATTCCACTTGCCATACAAATTCTCCCACTGTCTATCCTGTGCCATTACAAAGTAGTTATTCTCTCACTGAGCTTTTAGTTTCCAGAGAATTAATGATTTGTAACTGCAGTTATCACAGTCCTGGCAAACAGCTCRACATCTTTCTCTGTAAACAATAATTGTATTTCTTTCCCATTTAAAGAGTAGATATGGAATTAAGTAAAACAGAGAAAAGTGAGYGCATTCTCAAGCATTGCTATGAATAACAACTAAAATAGGGATTTCTACTTTCATGACAAATGTCAGTCCTGTTGAACAAAATGCCTTCTAACCTGCACACTGCTAACCTGGTTTTAACTATACAGGCACAGAGTTTTCCAAAGTTATTATCACTACATATGAACAAATAACTATATGTATTTTTGTTTATAAAGTCCAAATAGTCTAGTTGTGGGATGGGCTTGTGAAAGCAAAGCAGTGCAATACGGAATCTGCCACAAATCACCATTTATTTGATCTGACTTAACCAGACTACTGGCCATTACTCTGAATCATTAGGGCTGCAGTTTGTTGACACAAAAGGTTTAGAGAGAGATGAGCAGGCTGCTTAGGATGAGAAGATCATCACTTGGGGATTTGAATGTTTTCACTCTATCATTTTGCATGATAGAATACAGCTTGAAGAATTGATGGCACCTTACTGCTCTGTGGTGGCTGAGCATTTCTTCTCCCTAGTTTGTGCTGCATCTTTCATTGATAAAATTTACAGTGTGGACAGTCTAAAGCACAAAAATTACTCGAGTTCATTCTTGCAGGAAGATCAGCTTAAATCCAGACAATGCATGAAATATTTAGACTTTATTTTTATACTATCTTCAGATTGGATTATTTGTCTTTATAGAAAAATATCTGCTTACATCATTTAACATGAGTACATACTGCAGAACACACCCTGTGATACACAGAGGCCATGTGTTGAGCAACAGCAGAAAAAAAAAATAAAAAAGGTAGGCTTTCTACCATATAAAAGAAACGGAAGAAATTAAAAGCTTTCCAAAAGAATCAATTTTAAATAGAATTCTGGAATAGCTATGAATAAGGATATTGGTGAATTTACATTATCAAAATTATTAATGAACAGTAATACAAGAACATAAGCTAATATACAGCAACATTCTTATTAGAACTAAACTTGAAGCTACTGCAAGGATTTGGTTTTAACTATCATTTGCCTTAGTAATATTGCAAGAAAAGCTCAGTATAGCCCTCTCCATCACAGAAATCCAAATAAGGGGTTACCRTCACCACCTACATAAAATATAACTTGCCTGTTGTGGACAGAGGGGGTTTCTTGGATCATGCACGGTATGTTGTTCTCAAGGTTGTAGTTTAAGCTGTTTGTCAGGCAGACGGGTTGAGCAGGCCACAAGTCTCCTGCTGGGTATATACCTAGAAAGGTAAAGAAAGGGGACTGAAATGCAGAACAGGAAGGAGGCACGTATGAACTCTTTGTATCACAATGACATTTCATTCTTAGATCCCCAATAAAGGCTATATGCTAGATTAAAAAAAAATAAAAAAACACCCTACCAGTGAGATACTGACCAACCTATGTTTGATACATTTCAATTTTTATACAAATATTACAAACTATACTTATTACAAAATATTTAAAAAGACTTGAAGCTGATACTGTTCGTCTGCTCCGAGACCTGTTTTTCAACCAGCTTTCAAACTTTACCTCATCATTTAGCCTTTTGCCTTTATGAACCTTATTGAATATTATACTCAATAAATATTATTGAATATTAGATTAATATTATTATTTCTCCTTGAAATACAAACACTTGAAATCTGTCAGGGATTTAAAAGCCCAAACCCACTCTTATTCTTTATTCCTCTCAGGCAAAGCAAGTCCTAGTTGTGGAAATTAGAGAGAGAAAAATGGTCATATCTTGGCACATCATTGATGCCAATGTTCATTTTAACACATGAATCACTGTTCTTCATCTTCCTAAACCACATTACTTGAGATAAAACTGGTTCAAAGCAAGATTAAAGCAAACAAACAAACAAACAAACAAAACAGCTTAAGTTGCTAATAAAGTAACTAACCTTTATTTTTGTCAGGATCTGCAGCCATGTCAGTAAAATTAGGACATAAGGTTTCCGGATATTGGGGGATGGTGTTCAAGTCTCTGCTAAATGAAAAGAAAAAAAATATTTCTAAATTCAGGCTCTATAATATTTTGAAATCCAAATTATTTCGAAGTAAATATACAGAGATATAAGAAGGACTCTGATGAATAACACAATTGCTATTGCTTTCATAGTTGCTTTCCTGATTCTCCATATTTTTCACCACTGTGCAATTTTTTTTCTAGTTAAAAAACAGCTTCTTGCTACACATGAAAAATGAGTTTTTCCTAAATACCCCAACTCCTACTATCCAAGTATCAACCTATTGCACACTGTAGACCTGGAAAGGAAGCTCTGCGGCAGTAAGACGGCAACAACTGCTCATGTGTTTCAATGCATCCCATAATTTTCAGAGGAGCAGTTTAATTCCATGAGCACAAAGAAACACAGGTCTGGACACTGATTCCATATTCATGGAATCCCATATTCATCCCACCAAAGAAACTAATAAATAAGAGCATTCCCAGAAAGGGAACATTTTCAAGTACCAAAATCCCAGAGGTAGAAGATGGTGAAAACTTAAGACAGTCATGAATGTGAAATGAGGATTCACAGCAATAAAGATTTTAGATGCTAATTCTCTTACAGGAAAGACTTAGAAAAGAACATGAGGAGGGAGAAATCAATTTTCATGCTGTATCCTAAGAGAACATTATACTCATGGAAAGAATAACATCAACTTGAAAGTCTCACTTCCACTTAAAAAGAAAATAATTACTGCATTAATGTGCCTAAAGGATAAGGAAATATTTTAAGTTGCTAGATTTGGGAGAAATCAAAGACAAAAATAATTCTTTCTTTTTTCTTCCATATTTTGTTTTACATTTGGAAGCATTTACCATATTTCCCAAGCATAATCCATTTTTCTGGCTCAATTGTATAGATCTTTTTACATATAGAGAAAGATTTTTCTTTGTCAAATTAGGAAAATACAACTAGATGACCAAAAGAAAGACAATGAATAGGTGTAATTTATCAAAATGAAACAAGATTTCAAGTTGGTGGAGATTCTTTAATGTCTTACATGTATAGATTCAATTTTTTTACCTGGTATTGCAGATGTTATGAGACAGATTTAAAGTGATAGGAGTTTCAGATGGAAAATCATTTTGTGAAATATTCTCTCCTAAAGAAAAGAATGACTGTAAAAATCAAAGATCTTTAAAACAAACAAAAAGAAGTTGCACAGAATATATATATATACAAAAATAGACTAATAATTGGTATAAATCAAGTTTTCTCTCAGATTAAGGTATCAATAACTGCATTAATTCTAACATGCATCACATGTTAAAGGGTCTGCTTACTAACTGCCATGACACAATTGTTCTTTATAGCTCCTTTTCTGTATAATCTTTTGACTAGTTGAAGGGGAAGGCAGAGCTTATAAAATGATACGTGGTTTTAGAATCATTATTCTAACTAAAAGAATTTACCAAAATCTATTTCCACGTGGTGTTAAGTGTATTTTGTAAGTAATATTACAGTCTTAATGCTAACGGAGATTCTCTTTGCTATCAAATTCGTTATGAATTTGTAATTCCTTTTTTTCTTTTCTTTAAGGCATTACAACTGGAACGAACAGAAGATTGATTTGCACATGACTCACAAGCCCTTAGATTACAGGGTCAGACACATCACAGCATCTTTTGGAAACACAGCTGTAGGATTTTGCACATTTTATGTGTATAGGCTTAGGTCTTTGGCTTTCAACTTTTTTCATGATACTCAGGCATTCAGAAAGATCCAATAAGGAACCGCAGCTGTCACTTTTCATACCAATCAAGTGCCTTAGGGATGTTGACGACGTACACCTCAAATACAACTACCCCATCCGAGCAGTCTCTGGTGTTTTCTGAACTGCTTTCACACACTCATCATTTGTGCGCTTTCTTAAATAACAATAACAAAAAGATTGTATTTTTAYGAGAACCATGTGATGTAACATTAACTAGAAGGCAGAAATTGTTTTAACTCTTAGTGCCTCCATCTTTCCACAGGACTAACTGTAGGCAGCCTCCTCGATGCAGTGCCTGGCAGCTTCCCCATAGCCAGCCAGCTCATTTTTCTTGCCACAAAACTTGCAGTACTTACGGCTCTTCTCATCTCTCCTCTTCCTGAGGTCTTCTCCCCCTTACAAGGCAAACTGCACATTCCTTCCCAATCAGTTCCCAATCCCTACCCCTTTTCCACGCAAAAGGCAAGCCAAATCTCTGCAGAAATTGTGCTAACTGCAGAACTTACTAGATGGAAGGAAATGCCTGGCAGTGATCATAGGCTTTTTATCTCCGTCGGAACTGCTGGTGCTGCTCCAGCTGCCCCAGCTCCCGCGGCTGGCACGAACACTTCCCGATGAACTCCCGCAGTCCGAGCTCGAGTCGGAACAAAACTTCTCCAAACACTTCTTTTTGGATCGTTGATAAAAGCTCTCTGGAGAGGTTGGGGGAAAAAAATTACTCCATAAAAAAAAATAGTCCTTAAAACACAAATTCAATGGCAAGTCATCTAAAACATGCGTTGTCTCGATTTCTTGATAATAAAACAAATAATCAAAAATGGAATTTATTGCTAGTCTCATCAAGATACACATGTCAGCACCTATTGTGAGGGAGTCATGACCTAAATGACATCCTCAGCACTGTGAATACAAGGTAGGGGCCATGGCAGTTACAGGAATACAGGTAACAGGATGAAATGGGAAGCTGCACTTGGAAATATTCAGGTGTTGTTTTAAACAAGAAGCAGGTCCTGGCTGTAGGAATTTTTAAAACCAATGGCAAATGCTATGAACAATGAATTCACACAAGAACCATTTCTCTTCCTTTGTCATCTCATCAGGAAGACAGATAATTCTGTAAATATTTATACCTTGCCCGGTCCTTCTCTTCCCAAAAGCCAGGGAAAACTGGCAGACAGAAAAGCACATTATTTAAGTCAGTGGTGCTTCTGAAGGTGACCTGAAAAGTGGCCTTAGGAACTCAGCCATTTCAGCCAATACCAGCTGCAGTGTGAAACACAGCCAGACAGCAGTCCCTTGCCCAGGCATCCTCAGCCACTATTGCCACCTCATGTCAGGCTTCAAGGGGGAAAGGAGCAAAAAAATCACTCAAGAAAAGCCCCCAACTCAGTTCTACTGTCACAAAAAGCATCTTACATTTTTTCCCCAAATCAAGAAATTGCAGCTGAGCTACCTGTTTCTCCCTTCATGGACAAGCTCCCGTTTTTCTGGTCTGCTTTGCAGTTCTCGGCGCTGCCCTGCGGGCACCAGGCTCTTATCCCCGCGCTGGCTCTCAGCTCCGGCCTCTCAAACTCACCGCACAGATGCTTCAGCTCGCTCTGCTCGGGGACCCTAATGCAACCCAAACCACCAGGTCAGTGTCCCATCAAGGTGGGGTAGAGGGCTGGGAATAAGACTCTTATTCAATGCCTTAGAAAAACCTAATGAGRCTTTACTGAAACCTTTCCAAAATGCAATGTTTGGCTCCACAAACTACTACTACTCAGAGGGGGAAGAGGCAAAAAAACAAGTGTATGTTTAATTCCATTCTGTAATGCACTTGCAGAAGGCATGCAGATGTTATGGCGATAAGCACATCTTATCAGTAAGTACAGTACTGTAAATGATCCAATCATATGGAAAAATGGATGCTGTATCTCTTTCGGTGGCATAATTACCACTAAGACAAATCCATCATCTGAAATATTTTTAAGTTTGACTGAAAAAAATGAAATATTTRGATCCAGTAGAGTAATCAGAAAGTACTATAGGAAAACATGTAAAATCCAGCTGTGAAGTTCCTACAGCAGGTTGTTATATTGCAGCTCAAAAACCAGCAGGTCCTGAATCAGTTCAAGGAAGAGGTCACCACCTTCAAGTACTTCACTCTCCATTTCTCACACCTCTCACCTATAAAGGTCTGCATGCTGCAAGGACTTTTATTTATGGTGACTTTCCACACCACCAGTGGGACTATTCTAGCACCAGTTTAAAATTGGTATTTCTTAGCAATACAAATAACAAACAATAAAAATGTGAAATTGTAAGTATGAGTAGTTTACAGCTTACTGTAAACATATATTTAAATGAAYTGAGGAAAAAAGAGCATCTTCCCAGAATGCTGCTCCAGTCAACCTTAATGCTTATCTGTGAAGTCCCAATAACAGTATTTGATTAACCTCTCTGAGGAAAATAACTTTTTAATCGTTGTGGAAAAAATACACGTCCTTGCCTCTTTTCTGTGGATTTCTCTTCCTCTTTCAAAACTACTACAGTAAAACTTTCCCTAAGCAAGTCAAAAAGCAGCTGATTCATGTGAAGGAGGAGTCATTTCAACAATTTTGTTTCCTTTTCCCCCTCTGGCCCCTTCCCTCTCCCAAAGGCAATTCATGACTGGATTTTATCTGTACAACACATAAGGGAAAGAAAGCTAACCATTCAATTTTTAAAGAGTGCAAACACCAGATTGTAACAGAGAGTATCTACTGCTGTGCAGAATGGGGTGAGCTTATATACATGCAAATTTACAGTTAGGATTTCTTTTTGCTGGTGTTATTCAGTACTGTGCATTCTTAACAAGAAAGTCTCACACTCTGGATTAGAGTGTGTTTATTTAAATAGATAAAGTGAATGGCTAATGTATACTCCAAGAACCTGAGAAAGCATTAAAGCATCTCTGGTTTTCTCCATAACTCAGTGAGGCAATACATACCTTGTAGAAATATTAACATTCTTTTTCTTATTTTTTCTAGATGTTCTATTTCTATTCCAATTTATATTTGATGCATTTCCTTCTTTTTTCTCCTGAGGTTTCTTCTTCCTATAGGCATCTTCTTGCTAAAGGTAAAAACACGAGCTGAGACAACACTTTCTTTATAAAAATGACACCAGTTCAGTAGAAGAACTCTTCTAGATTTTTCTAGCTGAATTTATCTGGACAAAATGACCCAACTGCAGAKTTACTGCATGATTTAGTGCCTTTCCGCTGCATGCTCTCTTTCCAGGACCATTAACTTTGTTAGCATTTCCAAGAGTTTGTCCTTCAAAATACCAACAGATRATGAGAGAGAAATTTTGAAATGTTAGTATTCTCCCCCTACAGCATCTAGCCCCAACTTCCAGAGAAGTAAAATACAGGGAGGGGAAAGAGGGAAGCAGTCAATAAAATTTCCAATGTGCGAAAAACAAAAAACATCTGCCAGATTTATGATCAGTTTGTGYGCAAGTTCAGCAGCAATAAATCCTCCCTTTCCTCAGCAGCTGGGGATAGCCCCCCATCCCCATTCATCTGAATTACAACAGAGGAAATAGCGGGGTAAGTTAGCCAACAAATAATAATAATTAAGAAATGCGAGAAACAAAAGTCGAGAACAGACAAAAAGCAATCTGCAACAATTCTGAAAACATGACTACAAACTCTCCTTTCTTCTACATACTCCTGGAGCACATCAAACAGTTTGTCGTTACTCTTCTTGGTCACAGGATTAGTATCTTTCAGTTAGAATAAAAATTTAATCTAAATTCTTTGGGGTTTTTTTGGCTACCTGAGGAAGCCCTTCAATTAATTTGTACCAGCTGCAATAAGGTCCAATGTATCGTGTCCATCAAGTGCTCGGGAACTCGTGATGCTGGATGATCCTTTTCAAGCAGCTTTGCAGCCTGGTAAGAGGCTTCTGCCCATTCGTTAAATCTTATTTATTTATGTATTTAATGTCCCTTGATTCTGAAATGCAGTTTTCCAATTCAAAGCTCTATATTTGTAGATGAGGTCTGCAAATGGAGGCAGGAATTCTGCTCTAGGACCAGATGCTTCCCCTCTGGGATCTGTCCCCCCATCACTGCTGTGTCTGAGAGCTGGCATTAGACTCCAGCACCTTTGTGTCTGCTCTGATGACAAGTGAGAAAACCTCTGGCTGTGATACACTTAGTATCACAATATAAGGGGGGGTTAAATATTACCAAAACTGTTCATCATTTTACAAACCATCACTTGAAAGGGATGTGGGACAGCAAATCAAATTACTTCCTCGTTCACCTGATTTTCAGTGAAGTGCAGTATCTTTGTGACTGTATGCAACTGTCCATACACACACACACAYATATACTTATACACACACACCCCTATACGTATAGGCAGAAATAAATAAGGAGGAGATGAGTTTTAATTTGGAAAGCAGAAAAATTGCTTAATACAAACCTCAGAGGAAGTGATCTCCTCCTTTGTGCAGCACGGGGTCTCTTCCTTAGGTACTTTATTAATCTTTTTCTCAGTGGAAGGCTTTAGGTTGATCTGCTTTTTTAAAGTCTCACAGTTTTCTGTTTCGTTCCTGAGAGGCACTTGCTGGTTATTCCCTACAAATAAGCAAGAAAATCCATTGGGCTAGAAAGAGAACAGACTCCTAATCATATCCCCCTCTCCCTTCACCTTCTTTGATCAGGTCCCAGACATGGGCTGGAATTTGAAGCCAGAAAATACTAGGCTTAAAAGCAAACAAAAACACCTTTAAACAGGAAAAGAACATTTTTCAAAAAAGATTWCATCAAAATAAGGCCAATCTTTACTCAGAGCTTTAAGTTTCTGAAACGTCCCCTGCGTTCACAGCAAAGAGAAAGGGAAACGGTCCTCTGTTTCGGATAGACTTAGCATTAAAAGCGGCTTTCCTTAACAGGCTTGTGAGGAAGAAGAGTTGATAACAAAAGCAAAGCCATCCAAGTCAAGCCTCTCCTCTCTGCCTGGGCCTTTGCTCAGAGCCAAAGTTATTTCAGATATCTGCAAAACAGCAACAGGGAACTGCTCCYGACATTCTCGGCCCCTCCTTTTTATGCATGAAAAATGCATTAAAGACACAAGAAGCAGCACGTTGAGCTGTTTTGCTYGGAGGGGGCAGGCACACCCAAACGCTGGAGCTCTGAGCAGACAGGCCAGTGCCACCACAGCTTCAGCTACTGTCARCCTTCAGCACTCAAGGACTGGGAGTTCCTAACCAAAGCCAAACGTCTGGAAAGAACACTTTCCCAACCTGCCTTCAACTTCCCCTGGGCGCTTGCTCTTTTAAGTGGTAGGATTTCTTAGGCAGGTTAGCTCTACAATTGAAAAAGCAAGCTGAAAACACAGCTTCTCCATTATGGAGAGCAAAGAAACCTGTGAACTCCTACAAAATATAATGATTTCAAATATTCTGAAGCCAGCTTTTGCTCATTTAGGTGTTATTACAGGAATTCTAAAATAAACTGCACTGAGGATGTTGCTCAGCAACTCTAAGAACCAGGTAACAGATTCTCAGTGGGCCTGAGAATAGCAAGCAGGGAGCCTCAGAATAGCAAGCAGGGATGTTTCTGAACAGCTGACAAAGGCAATTTGTGTTTTTAAGCATATCTGTGGCAATAACAATATTAATCTTTAAAATGCTGCAGGATAAAACTTGGAATGTGTGAAAGAAGGCAAAGTCTTAACATTCATCATTGCACTCTGTATCTTCATAGCCATACTCCAGCACTAGCTGTGATTTATGAAACCACTTTTCATGCATGCTGTTTCCTTKGGAATCCAAACAAACATATCATAGGGGAAACATAACTAATACCACATCTCCTTGTCAGGCAAAAAAGAAATTGAAAAAAAAGTTACCACTATTTTTCCTGGAAATTTCTTGCAGTTCCGGCTGTTGCTGAGGTGAATTTCTTGACGAGTGACTTTCAGGTAGCTTCTTAGACATCTTCACAGGACAGAACTCCTGTTCTTTGAGCTCAGCTAGATTCTCTGAAGTTTTAAGGTTAGTTTCCTTAGGAAACATACATGTTTGAAGATCTTCCTTCAGATTGCACTCTGAAGAAGTATTTTTAATGAGAACTGTATTTTTCAGTGCACTTTCTTCTTTACCCAGAAAGTTTTCTGGTAGAGTTAAATTCTTGTTAAYGTTTATGCCATCTGCATATTTTAGCGTTACCCAGTTCTCACTGACAACATCAGTGCAAATGTCCTCTTTTGGGGCTGAGATTTGGTTCTCGGCAATCTGGCTTTGTTTTTCATCAGCAGCTGCAAGGGCAGTGCCAGCTGCTGTGTTTGGCTTTTGCTTACTGTAGTAGACTGAACACTTGTGTTTTTTCTGAGAGTGGCTGTAGGTCGCAGGACTCCTCTTCGCTGCRTTCTGGCTGCGGCTCGAGGAAGCCCCTACAGACAGGAAGCCCTTTCCTTTACCTTTGTCAGGAGAGCTGTAGGAATCCATGAATGTCTTGCAGCTTCCTCTGGCGAGAAGAAAAGTTATTTGAGATATGGTGCTATCTGTCATCAACTGAGATCAATTGAGCTGTCATCAATTGTTTTATGCCCATGCTTTTCWTTTTTTGTTTTTTTTCCATAACAGAAAAGGAGGCATTTCACAAGCTCCCAAAGTGCATTAAGATCTCATGTCATCAAACAAATAAGCACATTCTGATTTCACTGAGTTGAGCAAGATTATGTGTGTGATCTGACTTCAAACACTTACATGCCTGAGTGRGTAAGTGCCTAATTGACCACCCAAGAGGGACAGATTTGAGGACCATTAACATATTTCCTATTCTGTGCTTTCCATGCCTGCTGCACACAGTGTATCCACCACTTCCATTACACATCTAAGCACTACTAACAATATGCAAAATTAAAATCCCCCCGGGTTCTTGAGTCTCTCTGGCAGAGATGAAAATATCAAGCATTACCTAAAATATGTCACTACACTGAGATCTCCTCTAAACCAGCCCTTCACAATATCAAAGTACAAACAGATAGAAAGTATCATTCTACATTAAATAGAYTGCAATTCAGAAGGGAGAAAAAAAGAAGTATTTTTACTTGTAAGAATCGGAGCTGATCACGTCAACAGAGCTGTTGTTCTGCTGCGGTGAAGCACTGGGATTTGGCCTCTGTCTGGATTTCATGAATTCTGCTAGGATGTACTGGGCTTGCTGGAAGGCTATCAAAACCACACCCAGCAAAGACAAACTGTCAAAGGAAAAGGAAGATACTGGTGTCTGCACTTTTCAGCAGTGTTCAATGAGAGAGAKAAAGCTTCTAACAAGATTTACTTTTCAAACATTTTGTTAGTACTTCTACACCTGAAGAGAGCTACGAAAGCATTAAACAAAATACAGTCCAAACAAAAAAAAAAGTTTTAACAGTTTGCTATTTTCCTCCTCCTCCCCCCCCCCCCACTTCTAGTCCCCAATTCCTCATTTTTTTCCAAAACCCTGTAGCATCCTCTGTTGCATCTAGAAGCATGTAACACGGTCACTCTTAGTTTGGGCTTCGTGCTTTTACTGCTTTCAAGGCCAGCAACACAAATCCTCCCAGCGTGCMCATCAGGACATCCAGTGGATGTTACAGGCTAACACCTGTAGCAGCTCAACATCAGCTTTTGCTGCTGGTCAGATGTAATAGATAAAAGTATCTTTTAACGAGTGAAAGGAAGAAAGTTGAAGGAGAAGCAGGTGCTTACTTAGTTGTTCAGAACTTCATAGTTATGATTCATGTACACTCAGGTCTATTTATGACATCCAGGCACATCTCTACTGCTGAGGAATTGGTCTTCTAGCAAGATGCTATCTAGTTAGGGGTATCCTACACCTCTATTTACAGCCTTAACACAGGAGTATGTCAGAAGTAGGACAACAAAATGCCTGTCAGTGCCATCACCAGCTACAAAACCTCATGTAAGCTATCACGGCCAGCTGGCAGGACTCCCAGGACTCAGTTCCCAGGAGACTTCCATGCAGCAGAGATTTGGTCCTGTCCTTAAGAATATAAGGCAAGCTGAGAGTAAGAAAACSTCAGACCAGCCAGTTTCCTTTGCCTTCCTCTCTGGTGCCGAGTCTCCRAGGCCGTTACCTGACGAAGAGGACGGTGAGCCTCCAGAAGGACTCCTCCCAGCTGGGCCCGGGCACCACATCCGCACACAGCGGCAGCAAGTGGTGGGGAAGGGTCACGTTCAGCGTGAAGCGGAACTCCAGATCAGCAGCAGTCACCAGCGTAAGCTCACGGATTACCCACGAAGAGGTAAAATCAGGTGTAAATCTGTGAGAAGAGCAGAAGGCACTGGTGTTATTTTTCACTGCTGGGTTTAATTTCATTTTCTGAAGTCACCTTGACCCCAAAATACAAAACAATTTCTGATTTAATAATACGAAAAAAACACATTAAGTGGCCATTGCTTGCTTGGATTACGCAGACACATCATTGATCATCTGCCTAGCAGAAATGCAACTTAGAGGTCTTCCGCAAGCAGTAAAATACCTTTGTTTATACACACAAAAATATACAGTCATGCACACACGCTGCTGTACTGTGATGGTTCATTTTTCAAGAGAGAGCACATAGTCAATGCACACTAACTGAAGTGCTCTATCCCAAAAATAGTTAGCAAGAGTACAGGCAGCACTGTTTTGGAAGGGGCCAGATACCAAGGCTCCTTGGACATGGCACACAGAGGAATAAAGATTCCTAACAGATGGCGATTTGGCTAAAAAGGCCAAATTCTTCTTCCACTTATTTCCCTGACCCATACCACTGTTCTACTCGACAGGATTTAAAAAGAATCATTTTTAAAACTCTATGCAGTGTTAGGAAGACATGACTAGATTGCAGTCTATTTGTAATAAAGTAGAGAAAAGTGAGCAATGAAAAAGAAGTCAGTGGCAAAGCATTCATCCTCCTTCATCATGATGAGTCTTTTAACTGATTACTACATAATGTGCAGGCAAAAGCATGTGCGCTGCCTCATAAAGATAATGGTGTCCCATAAAGAAACCTTATTATATCATCAATTTGTTAGCATTATACTTACTGAAGAGTGGAAATGCCCAAGGAATTTATATTTAAAGCTCTCCAAATCGTAAGTGTGTGCTATTGGAGTGCCTGTTACTGAAACTCTGTTACTATTTCAGATTTCCACTTAAATTAATTTGTCAGCAAATTTGTCAGTGCTTACACAATACTGATCTCTCGTGATGAGTTCTGAGCCAGGAAAAATTCCTGACAGTCTAACACTTCAAACCCATATCCTTGGCAACTATAACCATTGATTTTCATAGACGAAATTGTTATAGGAAGAGGCCCAATATTCTCTACTTTGAAGTTCTTCGTAATGGATAAAATTTGCTTGCTGTCTTTCAGTTCTAAAAGGAAAAAAAAAAAAAAGAATATTCAATTATTTTTCAATGCCTAAAAATCTTATGTTTACAAGTGTTTTTTACTTTCAATCTAATAAAAAAATTTGAAAGTGGCCAACATTTTAATACAAACTTTTTTGTAGTAGTGTATTTCCAGAATTTGTTACTATCCTCAGCCAATGCTTTTGAAAAAAACAGAATCTCCTTCTCTCATTACCAAGGTCTTCAGATTTCTACTTCGACTTTCTGTTTGACAACAATAATGCTAAGGATGAACACAGCCAGCTACGGGATCAGAGAGCTGCTCCTTCTCACTCACGTCGCCTGCAGTCCATCAGTGTGGCTTCTGGCACCTTGAATCTAAGTGATCCTCCTGCACCTGGCAGTCGTCCCCCTACTTTAAGCAGCTCTTTGGCTCCAAAGCCTTCTATGGTGACCACGTCCAGGACAGTCAAGTTGTTTCTGTCACAAAACAAAAAAATCAAGCAGTCAGTCCTCGAATCACTGAAGTAGGTTATAAAAACAYAGCTCTGCTATCAAGGTGTCAAACCAACACAACAGGGTTTCAGGAAGAGAACAACTGGCCGAATCCTCACAAATATGTTCCCCTAGATATAGACAGGGTCGTTCCTGTCCCACTTATCTGTGAATTTCCACCCAGGAAAATAACAACTTTTGTGCCTACTGCCGTTGGATGACAGTGGTTGCTTCTTCCATAGACTCTATCTTCCTCCCCAAATGCCCAATGTATGGCTGTAAATTAGATCCAYTGGGTTCTGAAATCCTGTCATTATGAAGCTGAGAACAATGAAGCCACACAGCATGACAATAACGCCGCTCTGTTTGTAAAGGAATRCCCTCATGGAAAATATAAGACACTGTTCCACAGATTCACAGAATCACTGAATGGTTGAGTTGGAAGGGACAGAATCACAGAATATTYAAGGTTGGAAGGGACCTCTAGAGATCATCTAGTCCAACCTTCCTGCTCAAGCAGGCACACCTACAGCATGTGGCACAGGGCGGCATCCAGGCGGGTTTTGAAGACCTCCAGAGAAGGAGACTCCACAACCTCCCTGGGCAGCATGTTCCACTGCTCTGTCACCCTAACAGGGAAGAAGTTCCTCCTCACGTGGAGACAGAACTTCCTGTGCTCCAGCTTGTGGCCATTACCCCTCGTCCTATCGCTGGCCACCAGTGAGAACAGCTTGTCCCCTTCATCCCTGCATTAACCTCCCTGCATTAAAGACGACCTTTGGAGATCGTCTGGTCCAACCCCCCACTCCAGAAGGGACACCCAGGGCACGTGGCACCCACACAAACCTGTGCAGGGCAGTATCTATGCGTGTCAGTCGGGAGCAGAACCACCCCAGCTGCTTGGGAGTGGACTGGTTTGGGCAGTGAAGAAAGGTAGACGTGAAACATCACTTTGTTAACATAACCACAACACTTTCAGTGCTGAAGGCAGTTAAAGCAGAACTGCCCCAGTTACATAAAGTACATCCATATACATTTTATAACTCACTGATCAGACACCGAGGGAAGAACAAAGGCTCAACTGAAGTTACGATTTTCAAAAAAACAATAAGGCACAAAGAGCCTTTAAGCAGAAACAAGCAGAAACAAGGCATCAGGGTCTTTTTTTTTTTTTTTTTTATTAAAGGAAAGGCACTTTGATGTTCAAACTTTGACCACTTGTCTTTAAGATCTGGCAAATTAATTTTCATGTCGTTGTTTGCTTATCACTTACAACTGACAGCTGGCCTACCTGATTAAAATAAGGGAAGTTACTCTTCTGTAGTCAACTGGTGTAAAAACTACACCAACTCTTCTGGTTTCCAAAGGCTGCAAATGTAACTGAAGCAGCTCAGAACTGCACTTCTCGTTAATGAGATCCTCCTGATGTGTTTTCTGTTAAGCAAAAAATGCAGTTATTTATTCAAGGAAAACATATGCTTTTAAAAATCTCAGCGAAGAAAGCACCGAATCTCTACTTAGCACCACATAAGATATTTTTTGGCAAGGTGCAACTACTGCTGACTAACTTGTTATACAAAACTCTTCTAATGTGACAGCATAAAACATCAGATAAGGTTGTTTATTTGACCAAAAGTTCATATTACTGCACTTATTATACGGAATGTATTACTTCATTTTTTTTTTTTTAAACAGATTTTATTTGCTCAGATGGAAAAGAAACTATATACTGTCTTTCATAGTCAAGGAATGCTGAACTACTTCACAACACAAGGAAAACTGACAATATACTGATTACACAGGGAAATGTGGCAACCATTATACCCCCAGCGTAAGACTTAAATGAGAGAAGGACTGTTGGCAAATATGCTGATCATTTGAGTCGCTGAAAACAAGCCAAAGTGAACTCCAGCATATCAATTGAAGAGCAGCAATACCAGAAGCTCAGCAAGTCCAGAAATAATGTAATAATTAATTTTGCTGGGTTTCAAGATTGTTTAGTCTTTTCCCAAGAGAGAGAAAGAGAAAGAGAAAGAGAAAGAGAAAGAGAGAGAGAGAGAGAGAGAGAGAGAGAGAGAGAGAGAGAGAGAGAGAGAGAGAGAGAGAAAATAACCATAAAATCTCTCTTTCCCCAGACTTGGGCTATCTTAGAAAAGTATTCAGGCACCCATAAAGTAGTCAAAACAACTCTAAATATTAAAAAACAGACTTTTGGTCAGTTGTTTTTAAATTCATAGGTGTTGAACTAATGCCTTATCTTCTCTAGTCCAAGGCATTCACATTCATGTCTATTTTATGTTAAAAAAAAAAAAAGGAGGCTGCACATAAAGTTTTAGATCCTGCACTTAACAGTCAATATCCATTCAAAGCAAAACACATAGGATACTTGCACAGTTCACCCTGTCCCTCCCTCCTTGCTCCCTAGGTCTCTATATTCATATACTCAGATATATATACTCTAGCAATTCATGGCACATATATATATTTGTAATGTGACTGGGCAAACAAGGACACATTTGAAACTGTAAATCTTAACATTCAGGGATTTGGTTAACAGTAAACCAGGAGCTATCCTGTATATGTCTATACTGATTAACCACCTAATGTACACGTTCTTTCCAGCCCTTGCAGCCTCCAGGTGAAATGCAGACAAATGCAAAACATGCTGGTGTTGAAACCTGCCACTGCAAGGCCATGGGGACTCTGCCCGCTCGGTCCTATCTACATGGTGGTGGAAGCCCTTTCTCCTTCTCAGCGTGTGCCTGCAAGCTGCAGGGCTGGCTGTAGCACGTGCACAAGGAAGACACGGGCAAGGCAGGCTTAGCACAAGCTGGAAATGCCACAATTAGCTCTGCTGGTACCCTGGGCAGTACTCTGGCTGCGAGACGGGGCCCTGCCAGCATCCCTGAGGCTGCATCGCCTCTGCCACCCGCGCTGGGACAGCCCAGGCTGGTGGCACCCACTCCTGCGAGAGACGAGGCCACGGGAAACTCTTCTGTGCTCCACGGGGAGGCTGCAACGGGATGCAGGTCATGCATAAAAGCCAGTTCTCTTCCCTGAACTACAAGGCAGAATTCCTGCCTATTATCCAATTGGCTTGCGARTTCCCTGACTTGTAAGCCCAACATCAGGGGCAAAACCCAAGTCCCAGCAGGGGATGTAAACTGTGACCTTTAAGGTTAACGGTGGCCTTTTCAACATGCACACATGTGTGCACATGCTCTCGCCATGGCTGTTTGCAGGTTAGGAAACAACCTGCTCAAACCACCATCCCTGGAAAGAAATCAGCTGCAGAGATCAACCCCTACCAGAAAATGAAGAGAACAGAATGAAGATGTTTCAAGCAGTCTCTGGTAACTACTGCAATATAACCTAGTTTGCAAAATGTTCAGTTTTACAGTGTGTCAGACACTTCCCCCATGAGAACTAGACATCTTACCCTGTGAAAACACTCATCCATAAGCCTGAATTCGGTGGTTGTGAAATTAATAGTTTTCACATTTATGCCAAACCTAAATAAAGAAGACAAAACAAAAAAATAAGTACTTCAGAACGAGTCTGTCAGAACTGCACTGATTGATTTTTACGTGCTGGCATTTATTCTTAAGTGAAGAGTAATTTTAAGATTGTAGCTTGGCAGATGTGAAATACTTTCAAAACATGGGTGTTCATTTTAATAAATACACCACTAATTTAGGTTGATTCCATGTATTTGGAATCAACTATTTTAGGTTGATTCCATGTATTTGGACAGACGGGTTTGGCATTTTAAATCTCTCAGCATAAAATATAATTAAAAATAACAACAAAGATGTAATTTCTAAGACATATCATTTTGTTTCATATAAACATAAATGCTCAAGCACTTTTCCTGTCCACACAACTGATGAGAAATAATCATTATCAAATCTCAGTAATTTACTCAAACGTCCCTCCTTCTCATGATTTACTTTGGACAAATTCATATTTTTTCCCCTATATACTTTGCAAAGTAAAATCACTCATAGCAACTATTTGTCCAAGAGCAAAGTACATGCATTTGACACTTCCGGCTTTGCGAATGGATATAAGAAAATTACTAGGCAGAGTTCACATCACAGAAGACTAAGGGGCCTCCAGCTACTGAATTAAAAATCAACTTGCCACAACTTTCTACTACATTAGCTTAAAATACCTGGTCAGTGAACATGACTTCTGGTAAACTCAAAAGATTTGGAGAAACAAAAGTGTGCACATACAAACAAAAATTAATTTCAAATCAGTAGAAAAGAGTATAGGTTGAAATTATATTTMCTGTGAGAAGAGATGTAATTATTAATACATACAGATGTCTATATAAGTATATATGTACATGCACATACATGCACACACACATGTGTAAAGAAACTAAGGAAGCAATTAAGCAGAGATTCGGGCCCCACGTAAGCAGGAGAGTAGTCCCTTTAACTCCCAAGCAAGTAAATAATGAAAATCATAGTCCTACCACATAGAAAAGTAAGATAGTTTTTCAAGGTTTAATGTAGCAGGGCTTATTTGAGTTCAACTCAGCCCATGTCACCATCCCTTTTTGGACTGTCTATCTAGCTCTGCCTAAATTTTTCCTCTCGCCTTAAAAAAAAGCAGGAATTAGGTCTTCAGTTCTAAAACAAAACATTCAAAACAATGCAGAGACATTTATTTATATTGCTTATAGTTTGTGTCTGGCAGACAAACTCGCTGGAAATACTCATTTGGGTTTTATCACAGCGCAGAGCTGCCCTGAACACAATTACGCCKTCCAAAATGGGACAGAGCGTCGTCCCCAGCTAAGTTACACTTTGAAAAACTAAAACAAACCATAAGCACCAATCACAAGGCACAGCAAATACATCTTTATGAAGGGAAAACAGAATTACCATTTGCTGAGTAGATTCATTGAAGCTTGAGGATCAGGGTAGGAAGAAAGAGGCAGCAGCTGCAATGTAACTGGGAAGGATGAAGGGTTTCGTAGTACAAAATATTTTACCTATATAGTTTGGAAGGGAAAAGAAAAAGTTAAAAACTAAATTCTTGATATTTGGAAGGAAAAATAATTCAGCACTGGTAACATGAGCTGCATTTTCAAGGGACTTTAGCCTGGCTTCTGTCTTAATCCTTTACAACCACATGTGCACAAAACCACATGAAACAGCGGGAGATCTCGCCACAATGTCTTCATTTGCAGAAACAGCTAAGAGAACATGAAGCATGGGCAGAAATACAGACTTCTTTTCCTCAAAGCAACTTTTCCACTTGGATTTTGAATTACACATGCAGACAGGAATGCACAAAGTCTTCCACAGTAAGGCAGAACGTGTTACAGTGCCATTCTTTCTCACAGAAGTGAATGCAAGCAGGTTGCACACAGCACTGCACTGACTGACAGTCAGATGGCACAAACGGAATATTAAAGTAATTCACACTATGCGCATGGGGAAAATATCCCTACAGACTGGATGTGGCCCAAGCTCCGTTCGCAGTGACCAAAATGTGACAAATGAGAAAGAAATGACTGTCAGTGTGTTCATAAGACACGTCGCTCTGCTGCTCTCTTGGTGTGGTATCTTACGCAAACATTTTATGCACTTTATTGTAAGCGGCTGTGGTGTGAAGCRAGCCATCCTGTAGCCACATGCCTCCTTAATGATCAGCACATGCTATTCCTATCCGTTGTTCTATCATTTTGCCACAAGCACACGACTTACGCCAGGATGTGATGAAAGCTTTAACAGCCACGAACAACTGCTCATTAAAATCTGCACTGAAAGGCTTTGCTCCTCTCTTGGTATGAAAATATTAAAATTAGGTAGCTGCAGAACTTTATCAAAGACCAAAAGGAATAAGGAGAAGTGGCATCTTAAACTATGTCAGGATTTCTAAAACACGAATGTACTGGCAATACGAAGAGGTTAAGCATCAAATTTTAACAGCAGATTTTGTTATTTAAACAAGCTAAATACCCATCTGCTGAGAAGCAGGTTAAGAATCTTACCATACTACTTTTAATTGCTGTGGCACTGAAGTTCAGCGTAAGGCCAGGCTCTGCAGTCAACCGTGGCAAGAAAAAGGCGAACGATTCCTCTTGGAGCTTCTTCTGGTGAATGAAGCGAGCTGATCCCAGAGCATTTCTCCTGCTTTATTGGCAAAAAGAGAAACCTTTGTTAAAAAAACAAAAGACGACCTGCTGGAGCCTGTTATTTAGGTCAAATAATCTTTCCTTGTAAACACTCTTCACCAAATAAAGCCCATAAAGCTGCAACCTAGCACTAGTGAGTAGGTGTAGCTTAGGTGCACCCCTTCCACTGTGCTTCCCCCCCTGCAATGCAACGATCCCTTTTCCCAGCCCTACAGCCTGGTTCTGCAAAGGGGCTCCCAGCACTGCCTCAGCCTCTCCACAAGAGCAGCTCTGGAGCAGAGACTGTGTCCTTCCCAACCTCCCCAGGACATCGGATCCATTAGGCCAGGGGCTAAAAAAGCTTTAAAACTATTCAAAGCCCCTGACCCTGAAAAGACTACAGCGCAGTCTATTGACAGAGGATTTGTGCAACTACCATAGCTGATCTGATAAAATGTGCTTTGATTGCTTTCAGGCTGGGTAGTTGTGGTGGTGTGTAGTCAATACATTACTTATATTTAAAAAAATCAGCTTCTGAAAAGTTTAATTATTGCTGACAGTGCCTCGAAATGGAAATTGGGTTTTCTGCCATGCTCTGAAACACTGGATGCTTCAAGATGTCTAATTTGCGTGCATGAAGGTGAAAACTGTTTGTTCAAACTACAAATACTTTAGAAAATAAGTATTCTTTTTAATAGTACTGTACCAGCTTGTACAGACCTGCAGGCTTCTCCACGTCTTATTTTTTGCCACCTTTCAAAAAGTTCACTCGCAAGCTCAGAATCCACATCCCACGTAGAACGGTCCAGGGAGAGACTCTTCTGCCAAAGCAGATTTTCTAAAACAATAACAGATTTTTCACATTTAACAGAGGTAACATTTGCTCCTTTCATCAATCTATTTTTGCATGGGGGAAAGGGGAGACAGAGGGAGACAGAGCACGTGCACAAGTACTCAAGAGTGTGCAACCCACCTTCCCCTTCCAAAACAGCATATGTGAAAATACATAACATTAAGCAAATGAAATGTGGGCAWTAAAAATATGGATCTGCAGAGGCACAGTAATTCTACTCAAACAGGAATATGAGAATCATGGACATTTTTTATGCTCTGAACACTTTGTTATTTCTTAAACTCATGATTTTTTCAGTAGTCTTTCCAGAGAACTCTCCACTGATATCCGTGGAATACCTACAGTCACATACTGTCTTTATACAGTAGTACAAAGTTTTAATTTATAGTACAGGGGAGAGAAAAACAAATAACATACTTTGGCATTAATGGTGTTTCTGCTTTAGTTTCTTGTTTCCAGATACTGAACATTTTCTCAAACGCTATTTAAGCTAAAAATCTCAGGCTCTACTTCAATCTAAAGCCTAGATATCTTTTAGAAAGTCGGTGTCATACTCGTTCAAGTATTTTCACATAGCAGGAGAGAGTCAGGAAAATAAATTTCTACTGAAAGGAAACAAGAGTGGCTAATGTTGAAACTAACAAGTGAACTTTATTTTACAGTCCCTGGTGCTTCAAGTAACCAAGTGAGAAGGATGATGATTTGAGTATTTCAGCTACAGATTCTTCAGGCTGGTATTTCCAGACATGCACATAGACTTCTCTATTTAAAAAATGCCAGCATCTTTAATTAAAAGGAAAAATAGCTCTATGTGAAAATCTGGATGTGTTTCATTATTAGAATGAAAAGAAAACAAACAAAGACTATTTATATCAGCAATATRTCTTTTATTTAGATACTTCTTAATTACTTGCTTTTAAGATATTTCCACAAATATGCATATGTGTCAGTGATTCTCCTACCCTTGTGTTTATACTCATCACCTCAATCCTCCTTCCTGCATTTCATTGACTGCTATTGCCTTTTTGAACCCCTCATAAAAAAAAGCTATTTCAGAAAAGCATTCATTGTGAATTACATTCAGAAGACCAGGATGTGGTCTTCTGTGCGGTACCCAGTCATCTCTTTCTTGAGCAACAATGAGAAAACACCATCCTGAATCCGTCTGTCAGATTACACATTCTCCAGGCAAYAGCCTGTCCACACAGGGTCTAACACTGTTTCTATAAATGCCAACCAGGTACTTAAAACAACTCCCATCTGCTATGACAGTATCTGGGCAGATTTCACAGTTCCAGAAAAACTGACACCATCTCCTTCCGTTTTACTTGATACTGCTTTAGACATTTCAGTGCTGTTCTACCAGCCTGGCAAATGCTCTTTTGGAGAAATCTATGAAATTATCATCATAAAGAACTCYGGATAAGGGCAGCTATTGATCATTTTTTTCCATCAGAGAAAGATTTCACAGGATATAGGTCTGGATTCAGCACATTTGCTAACCTCTACCCTCTTGGAGGTACTTGGCAGCTTTATCATCCTAACATCTCTGGATGCATCTCGGAACATCTCTGGAAAATGTGCATACGAAGAAAGCAAGGAGCAGGATACCACCAKCAAGAACTTAAGGGTGAAGGGTGGGTCTTAAATCCATAATGTTATGAGATGGAACAATAGCTTAGTAAGTACTATGGAGTTAGGGGTCTGAAATAAATCTAGTGTTTGTATTTAAATTCTGAATATTCCCAGCACAAGCCCTGCTACATAAAATGCATTTTCTACCACAAAATGGCCATCAGATGCTTTAAACAAACAAAAAATCGTGCACAGTACAGGCCTACCTGAATCAGACTTTCCCAAGTAACACTGAATATCACAATGGGCTATGGCTTCAAAATGAAGATCTCCCTCCTGTAAAAAAAAAAAAAAATGCAAAACAAGAACAATTACCATCTGTATGACAAAATAAAAAGCCCAATTCCTATTTCTTAGTTCATAATGTGGGTGAGTCAACACAGAGAACTAAGGTTGCCTAGAGAACCATAACTGCAATGCTATTGAACTTTGAGAATTTAACTTCTCAGCTTGTGCTTCATGTAATAGTCTGGGGTTCAGCTCTTCCCTTCAAGACTAAGGGATRCATTTCCAGTCGCAGAATCACAAAATGATTAACTTAGCAAGTGACTTTTGGAGATCATCTAGTGCAACATCCCTCCCCTGCACAAGGCTAAGAAAGAAGTCACTGCAGTTTGCTTTGCAGTGCATAATCATCACCTAGCCCAACGGAATACAATACCTTGGACACTGTGGAATAAATCTGCAGAGGTATTTCAAACATCATTCCTACATTTGTGGTCAAACAAATACTAGAAAGTACATTTGTTAGAGTGTCTTTCACACTGAGTTTTAAAGAAAATACATTCCAGCAGCCTGGAGGTAGAGTCAAAGGTTCAGCAAAGTTCAGAATCTAGAAAGAATCAAAGAAAATTTAAATTGGTAAATTATTTTTGACTACAACTAGTGTCTGAAGAAGTGTGAGCCTCCTCTTCTTTTGCATTATTTTTTGTATTACACATTCATATATTCCCATACGTGATCCATACAACCTGCATGTGCAAGTCTCCTAACATGCAAATGGCCAGTTAGATCCCTGCATTATGTGAGTATTCCCAAACTGCATTTTCTGTTCCGAATCAAGCAGTTGCATAAGTGTATTACTGGCCTCGCCTTGCCAGCTTCAAAGCTTTTCTATGTACTAACGACTTCCAATACAGCCTATGAAGAAATGCTGAATCCTATAGGACACACAAAAMAACACATGCAACAATTCTGAGAACATAGACTGCTCTATAATTTGATGCATCTGTAAATGCAACTCAACTGAAAAAATAACTGCTAACACAGCAATCCAAAAGCAAGCTTGACAGCAAATAATGCCTATAGAGAGCTGAAGCTTTTCAGGACTTAACAGTTAAAAGGCAAACTACTCTATTTTTTTGCTGATTTCAAACAGCCTTGAGAACTGCAGGTTCTTAAACATTCTCTTCTGTATGTCAAAGGAATAAATTCTTAAATGAAGGGCAAACATTGCTTGAAAACGAAATAAAACTTACCTTTAAAATGTTCTTTGTCTCTCTAGCTACGAAGACTTCGGTAAGTTCAATGTTGAAGTCAAAGTTATTTGTAAACCATATGGYCCACAAACCTGAAGTATTATGATGTGGTTCTATGTGAAACAATGCTGCAGAAGGATCTACGTCAAAATATCTGTAAGTAAATGCAGGAAAAAAAAAACCCAAATACATCTCTATCTGTCCTCGCTGACATTCAAGTCAACAAGAGAAAAGATAACTGTACAACTCTTGCACAGTGAGGGCTTTAAAAAAACAGTTTTAAGAAGAAAAACAAAATTACTAAGGATAAGAAGAATATTAAGAATATTTACATATAACATCAGAGTAAAAACTGACAAGAAAGATTGCAGCTTCCATGAAATTGGCACAAGAAGAAAAGCATTTACTCCACATTTTTTCTACAACTATACTGCTTCTATGTTGGAGAAACAAGATGATGGAAATTTTAACACAGACTCTAAGCACTATTTATGTGTTGTGTTCAAGAACTGCTAAGGCACATCCTTTTACTGCACCGTGAAATTCTTGAAATACAGAACTATTACTTAAAATGCCACGGGTCTGCTTTAGCAAGTGTCACAGCAACAACAGGAAGGGGCCTCTTCACTGTCCTTAGAAACATCCAGGGACAAAGGAAACTAACCTGTCTCTTAAAGGAGGTTGCAGTAGTCTTCACAATGTCAGTGAATGTTAACAATAAAAATCCACTGTTAACCTACCCTTCCATCACAGGACAGGAAAGACAGGCTTTTAGTGTTGTAGTGCCTCCCAACAGGCTCTTCTTCTTGTCTTCTGCAGAAGAGTTTTCACTGTCACATGATGCAGCTGGGCAAAAACAGACAGAGAATATAATAAAATACCAACTGGAAGAACAAAAAAGCACTTCCAAAATGATTTCCTTATGAGGCTTTCAATGAACTCGACAAAGGAGAACATTGCTCTTCCACTTCTATGTTCTACATAGGTGAAGAGCACACCTAAATGTTCATGGTTTAGTTTTCAGAGGTCCTGAACTTTGATTTAAGATGAATTTATGAATTATACATTACAAAAGAAAAGGCTGTGAAGAGCAATCTGACCAGCTTTAACCAGGACTCAATGGCACAGCTTCAGATTTCTGCCTCCTACAACAGCATTCTGATTTATCAGAACATGCTGCCCCCTTTCAATAAATGAAAGGCTATTCTGAAGCAGAAAAGAAGAAAACCCACAACTTCTTCATGCTTGCCTTGTTTTTCTGGTAAAAACAAGTCCCACTGTCATTATGAAAGCAGTCTGCCTCAGAAACATTTAAAGTCTATGCACTGCAGTCTAGYGGTCAGAACAGGAAACGGGCTGGAGTCAAGAATTCTTCAATTTTAATCTTTGCTCTTCGAAAAACATGCCTGGTCTCAGACAAGCGTCTTCAACCATGCTGCCAAGAAACGTCATTAAAAAATGACCACCCAAGCACAATAGCCTTTTAGAAAATATATTGGAAACAGAAAAATAACCACAAATTATAAAAGGATGTCAAAAAAACATATTCAATAATTGCACTTATTTTAAAATCAGCTTTAGTGTTTTCTTTAGTGTTTTCTTCCCCTTTTTGAAATATGTATAGCTTAGAGCTTTAGATCAGAATGAGTGGCAGCATATAAACACAGAAACGGTGGAAAAAAATGGACACAAAGAATTCATCCTCTTAAAAAAATTTCCAATTTTGAGTTTTTCCAGTGTCTCTATCTGCTGCAGCAAGCTACACTTTAACAATCAAGCCTTATTTAACCAAGTTATCTGCAAGTACATTATACTGTACCTCTACAGAAAATGGAAGCGACTTTTGTAAAGTTTGTAGCTGAAGAAGATAGCAGTACTGGCTCAAACTCCACACGTGACATCTCCTCTTGCGACAACTGTCGTATATCCTGCATTGAGACAAGACACAGCACTTGTGGCAATACTACGATTATTTCTTTAACTCCTGTATTAGTTCTTGTCAATGCATTATAAAAAAAAAAAGGCTTTTCAATGYCTTAAAAAATAAAATCCGTCACTGAACTATAATCTACAAGATCTGTTAGTCATTTGGACACGTTTTAAAAATATGGAAGCCTGACATTGGCCACCAGCAAAAGACAGTCCACTCATAGACGGTAAACCATAATAGGCTTACTGGTGAGCTAATGGGGAGCTAACAAACACCCCAATCAAATCTAACATGTTAAAAACATGACAACAGGGAGCACATAATTACCTGGACGTGCACAAGGCTGTTGCCAGAATTCAACACATAGACATTTACTGAGGAATCGCCTGTTTAAAAGAAGGAACACCCAGTTCAGCTCAAAGCACGCAGCAGGAAGGCACTACCTGGTTGCATCTTTCCCTCAACACCGCATCTCTCTTATTTCATGATGCAAAGGGAGGGCAGCAGGCAAACAGCACGGTGTGATATGGCAAAGCCACCCCCAGTACTGAGATGTGGAACCTCCTACCAGCAGCAAGTCAGGAGGGGTTACACAAGCAGGCTTTCAYCCGGCCAGAACTTACAATTTGCCTTCGCTTTAACAGAGAACAACTTTAAAAAGTCCTAGTACCTCAACTATTAGAAGAGTTACAGCCGACACCCTTGACATGACAAAGKTGGGCTGAAGTTCTTAAAAGACAAAAGGATCCTGTTGTTTTTACTCATGCAAAATCCTCATTCTTAAAWATAATGTTTTTAACCTAGGTGCTTAAGCAGTCCTTTCTTCTTCTTCCTTTAGAAAGCACAACTGGCAGAAATGTTGTTTCTACAGTCTAAAAAGAGCAATCCAAACAGACTGCAAGGCTCTATAAATAATTTAAAATCCCTTGGATTTGGAGGATTTGTTCACCCAATAAATGTACTATAAAGAAACTGTAARGAGATGATTATTTTGCCTGTGGAATTCTAGCTTACAAGAACAACTGATGCACATTTGTTTTCTGTATTATCTTATTTTCCCTTTTCCACTATGGCCACTACTGCCAGCACAATACAAACCATTCTGTCTTCTTAGTCCTATTACAATTAATTAAATTGATGGGAAACTAGAAATAGAGCTGTAGAAATCAAAGCACACCTTTATACACTACTTATGTACATGTGCGAGCACAGAGAGAAAAAGAACAAAACAGACACAGTTTACAACTGCATGAACTACGAATTATGAAGAGGAGGGCTCKGAACTAACTGCAGCTTAAACAAATAGCTTAAACTGCAGACCAGTTGCTTGCAACTGAACTGATTTTCTCTTTGACTTGCAAAACTTACAGCTTGCCACTAAAGCCGATGCATTTAGGACATCGGATTACGAAGCCCGTAACAAACCATTTTCTATGACAATTAGCAGTCACATTTAGGACTTACCCGAGGTCTTCGTTTTTTCCACTGCTACATAAACTACAAAAAGATTCTCCAATAAGTATTGTCTGTGCTCCACAAAATCTTGTTGGGCATTTTCCATTCTTACCATTAAGCTCATTTCTAGCAGCATTGGATCATCGGGCATAAAGCAGCAGCTCTGGAGTGAAACAAGGGGATACAGTGTGTGTGCAGGGGGCAAAAAGGAAAACGTCATTACAGCAGGGTATCTGGAGAAGCTAACTGAGGGTAGCATCTAAACAGGCAAGGTGCTGAGCACAAGAGTGCTGATGCACAGGAGTAGTTAGGACCTCTGCTAAAACTCTCAGCAGAAACCAAAGACAGCGCAAGGAAAGACAGCACAGCAAAAACAAAGACGAAGAACAACTAAAAAGGACACTGAACCTTGAAAGAATGCAAATTCATAAACTGCCTCAGTCAGTCTCACCTCAGGGACTGCAAAACAGTTTCCTTTGTTAAATCCTCTGCCTTCAATAAAATGTGCCATAAACAGACTGATGCATGTGTCTTAATGGTAGGAAGACAGTTCATGTTCACTGGTCTGTTTATAGTTATTTTTCCAAATCCTGTGTTTTTTGTCTCCATTTCTCACTGAAGTAATTTTAAAAAAACAAACATATATGTACAATTCTTAATAGAGAACACTGTCGCCTGGCTAGAATACTTCAGATAAATACAAACAGGGTCTTATTTCCCATGCTAGTGATCGCCAGTAAGACAGATAGGTCTTAGAGCAACTACAAAGACAGACACCATTTTGCAAAATAAAATAAAATAAATCAAACCCAACGAGCAAAACGAGACTAGACATTCAACGGTGAGGAACAGCAATCTGTCCTGCAACACCTGGTCATTAGAGGCTGGCTCTGATGGCCAACCAGGAGTCATCTGCTCAGGAGCAGGAGGAGAGAAGACTTGCAAACACAGCATGTTAAGTGCTCTACTGAATGGACAGCAGCCACCCATGGCTAATGGTGTGTGCTGCAAGGAGGTATAGCAGGAGCGGGGAAGCATCTCAGAGAGCTGGATGCCAGGTAAGCCATGGAGCATCACAGAAATCCTCAGTACTTCAACAAATAGCTAGAGAAGCACAGAAAAAGCACTGCAGCAATGCAAGTATAAGGGGAACACACTTTTAGGAATCTCCTGTCAAGGAACAGCTGATTTATGTGCAGTCTTAAGCTTTGTGGTGCTTCTCAAGCCTAGGTTTATTTATTCTGCAATGCAAGAATCAAGCAGGGCAATAAGGCAGAGCACAGCACCACTGCAGTGTGTGGCACACACAGAAATAGCTACAGGGTCTTGGCCCACTCATATTTGACAGACGGACAGCGCTGCAGACCACAGCCCAGGGCCCACACATCTGATCCCACAGACTAGCTGATCAGGTGTCGGCAGCACTGGGAACCAATGCTTATCTGCTATGCAAACCTACTTAAAGCCCTTTTGATAGCACTGCCTCACAGCTGGAGATCAAATGTCCTAAAAGCCCAAAGGCTTTGGAGAGGTTTTTAGCAAGACAGTTTACTGAGAAGAGCCTCATTTGTTCTGCACAGTAAAAGCCCACTCCAAAGGTGGTGGAAAACACAGCCTAGGCAGTCTGGGCTGCAGGCTCTCTTCCAGTTCTTTTTTTTGTTAGTATGAACTACCAAAAACTTAGGAAAACATTTCTGGAAAACAGAAATTTCACAAATATAATCACTTTTATACTCCACACAAAGTAATGTAACACATATTAAAATGTTTAAAGCCTGTTTTCTGGGAGGGGTGGGGAAAGAGGAGTGATAGTGTGGTATCATACCACAGTTCCCATTTAAATGGAGACATTTTTAATTGCATTGCTGCTAAAATTTTCAAAACTCTGGCAAGCATTTCTTTAAAATTTGATTAATGTATCCATTTTATGCAACTTACAATATGATAATAAACATACCTTAACTTGCTGATATGAATTGTTAGGCAAACTGCATTCAAGAYGAACGCGTAACAGACTGGCATTCATAGTTTCTGCCTATTAAAGAAAAAAAGTGAAGAAAATGTCAAGCAGATTGCTCCAACAGATGTTATATAAATCTGACTCACACGTCAAAGTGTATAAAGATAGGAAGATGGTCTCCATACACGTATGCTACAACAATGCAAGGAATTTTTTAAAAACAAATGCAATTGCTGTACACAGGCACTCAGCAATCAGCCTCCAATTCTCAGAGAGAAACACCACCTCTAACTACTTATCAAGCATTATTCTACATGATTATTAAACATTTGTACAGCATGAAGATGAGCAATCCTTATAAATTTTCATGCTTCAACAAACTGTATCCAATAGAGCCTTTTTCTTTTCTAATATAAAAGCTTTTTTCCTTGTTATCTGGATATTTTCTTTGCTGACTGCAGTCTGAAATACGGTCGTTGAGCCAAGGCTGCAGCAATATTTTTTKGACGATGGCAGACAGGCAGGTTTCATGCCAAAAACAGACAGACAAAATACTTGTTTCACCTTTTTATTGATTGGAAAGGCAAAAAGGGAGGAGGGGGGAAAGAAAAAAAAAGTACTGACTGCGCCAGTTTGTTAAACATTCATAAATCTAATGAGGCAACAGCAGTGACAAAGCCAAGCATAGCTGGTGACAGCTATTTGGAAATCTGGACTGCCAAATTAATTCCACAAACAGCTCAGCCTGCGTGGCTTGATTTTAAATAAAAATGTCCATAATCACAGCTTGGTGACTCTGCTTATCAGAGCCTTAACTATACCTAAAATAGGCTGTGATTTGGCGATGGACACGAAACCCCACCCAGCTTCTCTTTTGAAGGGTAGTTACATCTGAACTGGGCATTTGCAGATGCAAGCTTTGCAGACATCAATGAGACTTACTGCACATGGCTTTAAGAATTCAAAGAAAATGATGCTGGAAAGCAAAATGAAGCAAAAGAAGGGGATTAAAACATCCAATAATCTGCTTTGGATCCCCCTTTGCTTTCAGAAATGCCTGCACAAAGTGCAGATGCCTTCTCTTTTTCACAAAGGAGGGCATGGCGCACGTGAGAATGCACCAGATTTTCCCCAGGCATGATGCTGCATTTATGCCACTGGGCACAGCTTCATTACAGCGCAGCCAGAAGAGCGCCAGCATTTGTGCTGCAGTCCTGATTCAGCAAGCKTTTCCACCAGAAGGACTGAGGACTCACACAAGAGGGCGATCTAGCCTCTGGAAAGATGGTTAATGGCACCTCAAAAACAGGCACTTCTCTCTCCAGCACACTGCTGGAGGAAGGATGTGAACCCCAACCAGCTCGGTTGTTTTTGCAAACTCTTTGTCCTCAGACTTCTGAGAGCAGAAGCAGCATCTGGCCACAAAACACACACCATTTATTACACACATCATTTATTAACTTTCCACGACCAAGACCAGCAATAGAATTTAGCAAGGCACTAGGATATTATGAAGAGCCACTTTTGGGTTACTTCTTTGGTCCGATAAACCTCCTTTGTTGGTGTTCCTTGGGAGGACTCTATGGTTTGCACTGTCGTAAATCAGGAGTTCTTCGCCTTTATTCAGTGTTATTGTAGTTTAAATTAGCTTAAGAAACCCATCCCCATAAGAATTCAATTAGATCATGTTTTTTTTCCAGACTTTTGTTTGAACTCCTTTACTTGACCCAGTGCACACGTACATGAGGAACTGTTCTGCTTTCTTAAAAGTGAAGCTGCTATGAAAACACACAGAGGAAATTTGGGTGTATTTATGTGTAACGTTCATCTGCTTTCCATGAGAACTTTTYTTCCCCCTCTCTGTAAAGATATCTTCAGAAAAGGAGAAGGATTTTCACTTATCTAAGGCAGACAATAGATGCATAATTGTCGTGCCTACCATCTTAAAGCATCGGTAACTATATAGAGACAAAGACAAAGAATGTCAGAAGGAAAAAAAAGAAGATCCAAGGCAGAGTTTCTAAGAACACCAACTCATGGYGACCGTGTCTGCATTTCTCAATGGTGAGCGCAATCCGCTTACGCTGTAAATATTACTGTGCATGAAGCAGAGTGCCGAAATATTCAGAGCATGTTTGCATCGGAGACGAGTGGAGACGAGAGGCGCAATATAAGGGAAGACTGAGAAGGAGCTCTGTGCRACAGCACAACCCCTGACACTCCTTCAGGCTCCAGAAAGCTACACGGTACCTTTGTCTTATACACATATTCATGTAAATGCATATGTACATGCACAGCACACAATCCCTAATACATTTTTTTTTTAATATTGAAATATAAATACCTATCAATTTGGGGAAGAGCTGCATTTGAATGGCTTCTACCAGATGGAGGCAGAGCCCCTCTCTTAAAGCATGAAAGAAGGGAAAGAAAACAAAAGATCTATCCAGTCGATGTGCAGGGATGTGTCCCTTCTCCGAGAGGTGGTCTGGGATTCTAGCTGGGAGACAAGAGCAGGCAGCCACCCCTGCAATGTCTGATGCACAGAGGCAGCACAAGCGGCAGCGCTGGCACGGGCCAGCTCAGCAACGCCGCTCCGAGGCACCCAGCGCTTGGCTCCGGCCTGCAGGCTTTGCCAAGCAGGCTCCACTCGGGATTTTCACGCATATACTCCTGCATTACCCAGGCTGCAGAGTCCAAACCGCTTCCTGGAGTTGGGCTATACTGTAATTAAAAAGAGCCAGCACTGAAGAGGCCTGAAGGCCGGCGCTTTCCTTGCAGGAAGATCCCTGGCCCTGAAGGGCTATTTCTGCTCTAAGTGCAGTGCCACTGATAGCTCTTCCAGWAACAACGATTCAGCAGAGCTCCATCAGCGCTTTGCAGGCCGTTATCGCCGTGGCACAGCAGCAGCAGGAGAGGCTCCCTCCCCACACCCAGGGAGCTCACACTGATCCKCCGCTCACCTGCACGACACCCAACTTGAGAGGCCCTGCAGTCCTCCCAGTCCTTGCAAAGTTGCCCGTGTTATTGGCTCACAAACGCCAAACTCATCTGGGAAGTCAGCAAAACCATGTCTGTGTCTCCTGTGATAAGATATCCGTGCCTGAAGCCTCCTCTATGTTTGTACAGCAGTCTGAACACAACGAGACATTGATGTTGCTGCCCTTCAAGGGCCTCGCAAATACCAAACAATGCCAAAAAACAGGCAACTGGAGCGAAGACTAGAACCAGAAGCTGCATAAACAAAGATGACCTAAATGGGCTGCACCATCTGCTACAGCTTAGTGGTAACTGCCTTCTGAATGGCCATGGATTGAGGAGTTTCAATACAGCTCTTCTGTCTTTACCACTAGCAAGCCCAGATCCCAAGAATTCCAGGATACAGGAACACAGCTAGAGCACACTGACTCAAAATCCTCAGAACTGAWACTCTGAGGAAGTTTGATGACACCTACAACTCTCAAAGTCCATACAGCATGAAAGTTCACGTTCCCCCCATGACGCAAACCCACGACTTATCATATTTTCAATTAAAATTTCATCTGCAGCCCTACCAACAATTCTGCCCACTCCTCTCACTGGACATATATTATGGCAAACAGATGTAAACTGGCCACAGTGAAACCCACACTAGAAATCAGAGGTGGATTCTGGCGTTTGGTAGGAGTGATGGTAAGACAGCATCCAACAGCTCTGAGAAGCCACTTGGATTAAGTGAGTTTCTTACCTCTGGGACCAAGGATGTCACTGTCCAAACTACCATCTTAAGTGAAAACCTCTTGAGAACCGGAGATAACAGATGAGGAGAGGAGAGGGACACCACGAAGCACCAGTGAGCTTTCTCACAGGCTTCCAAGCAGCAGCAGTAGACTGGGGCACTATGGTAACTTTAGCCCATCACACTATCAGTTCAGGATTACCCCTCATCCATCCCAAGCTGGCAAGGTGTGCAAACAAAGCTTATGCAATCCTAAACTTACTCTAGCGTTTGCCTTTAGTGAAGAACAAACAGGAAGAAGTGAAGGCATAGTTAAGTAGGTGTGACTGTATTTGTTTTTATTTTTTTGTTTTGTTACTAAAAATCTCCACTGTTTGTTCAATATTTATGTACCATATGTTTTCATGTGTATAGTTGCTCTCAAAAGCTTTATAGATCTTTGCCTTCCGCAGTTGTTGAGCTTAAAATATAAACCGGACAAGTCACAAGGTGACTATTAATGACTGTAAACAAGCACAGGGAGAATAAAGTCCCACTCCTCCACTAATCTCTTTGGAATCAATGGGATGAATCCAACCAATTTTTATAGGATCTAGACTGTAAATAGGATCAACRAAAAGATCAACCTCTGGATGGGCAGCTATCTGCAGAGCAAAGGCACCCAGGCTCAAGCCATAAGCTTTTCTTCATTTATTTGGATCTTGCCTCCAATCTTCCTCAGATATTGGCACAACCTGTCCCACTTTCTTTCTGTCCAGTTTGCAATGTTCAGTGAACTGAAGAGCAATTCCCCATTATAACCAGGCTCCCCATAATTACACACAGAGCTAGAGGAGCCAAGTCAACGCTCCCTCACAACTCRTGTACTGAAGAGGCAAGACTGGTGCCAGGTGGTACCACGCCGTGCTGCCAAACATGACCTCAAGCTTGTACTCTAGAGAAAGAAAGCGGAGGGAAAATGTTTCTCATTACACAGAAAGGAAAATGTCAAACGCTCCCTAAAAGCTCTTCTGTCAGAAATAAGGAGAAGCAGCAGAGTCTGCCTCCAAACTTGAGAAAGTACCTGAGGACTGCCCATTAAACTGGAAGTGAAACTGCACAAACGCATTTCATAGCATCTCAAAAATAAATATATGTAATATGAAAAGCAATAACAAAACCCAGTCAGTTCTACCTCTATCATTAACAAATTACTAAACCTGAAGACTTGGGRTTCCATCACAAGATCCCACCTGAGTCTGTGTCATGTCCACAAGCAAGGAGCAACCTTGAGTGCGTACAAGAGAAAGCCGAGGATCTCATCCCCTCATCCTGGGGAAAAATAAGATTGGCCTGAACTATAGCAGAGACCAAAACTCYCTCTGAGGAGGGAGCACTTTGGAGACAGAACAAACAGAAGACAAAGGCAACTAATGCAGATCTTTAAGTAGAATTAAGTAGAATATTAAATTCAATGTGCACTAAAATATTCCAAATATGTTTTTGAAAATAAGAAAAAAACACACAAACCCCAAATCCATGTACAATACTAAACTTACACATGAAGAGCAAAAGGAAAGCTAACATTATTCTGCATGGCCTGGACAACTATGAAAACAGTCTTCTCTTCAGTTTCCCTTTCATTTGAAATCATCATGCCTTGTAAGTCTATCTTGCAGTATTCCTCACAGTGAGGTGAAGGTGAGGAGAGCACAGCCGATATCCTCAGCACTGGTGCTGGCAGAGGGGGAAATTCCAGCCCAACTCCCGCGTCCTGTTCTCATCCGCACGGCAGACCCTGCATTTTACTGACCTGGAAACTCTGCAGCCCTGTCACGAAGGAGCACGGGATCTGAGGTAAAAATTAAACAACACACCACACAGACACCCACACCAACATACACACACACCAAACCCCCCCTGTAACACAGTAACTGGGCTTTTTTTGTTTTGTTCTGTTTTGTTTTTTTAAGGTAGATCAGTTCTCCAATCTGGCTCACAGCAAGGCCTCACAAATGGTTTTGCCAGCACAACGGAGAGGACAGCACACCACAGGAGCACAAACAGGAACAAGTGGGAATAGCTCAAATGTCAAAAAAAAAAAACAAAAAAACCCAAAACACTCTCATAAAACCAGAAAACCAGAACACTAGCTCATTACAATAACTCTGTGTCTGGCAACCTCACTCCTGCAGCTACAGGTACTTGGACTTGTTGGACTTTGGTTTTTGGGTTTTTTTTAAAACATTTTTTACATCTCAGCAACCTGAGAACAAAAAATCTCCTCTGCCTCAGTAAATTAATGCTTTGCTTTTATTTGAAATATATACTGTACCAGTGTTTGTGAAGCCTGGATGCTTTGAATTTGTGGAAGCAGTAAATAGGCATTTGCTAGCTGCACTCTAGACTCTTTTGAAGAAGACTTCGAAGTTCCCATTCCAAAAACCTGTTGGATAACAAATTCATTATACCAGCATCTAGTATTTGAGTTATTACAACACCATACAAAATACTTGAACCCAAAGAAAAAGACTGACACTTAGTTATACTGCATTCTTTTAAAAGTAAGATACTTTAAAAAAAAAAAAAAAAAGTGTGGGGGGGATTTCCACAGTGGAAATTAATTACACACATAAATAGTACTTTAGTGTCAGGCACCATTACAAAACAAAACCACTTATCATCAGAGCATCAAGTTATCTCAAAACTGAAAACTCTCTTACTTGTCTTCAGGTGATTACAATGCAAATATCTGGATATAAGAAATACATCTCAAATTTGGCCATAATCTTTATTGTAACTTTAATCTGATTTTTTTTTCTTTAAATACTACATTCATGTTCCATTCTACCAAGAGCTGTTTCTGACAACAAGATGCTAGATAACCTATGATGACTTCCTTCCTTCAAAAGGAAAAACCCTTGGGTTTTTCTCTTATTGGCATGCAAAGAGATGTTAAATTAATTTTAGACAAAAAAACCCACTTTTTTAAATTAGAGGTGAATACAGTGTATTCTATTTTCATTGAAGATAGCACATTATTAACAGAAAAATAAATCAGAAAAAAAAGAATACACTTAAAAAAAAATGAGGCATTTACAAACAACATTTTATTACCATGGCACCTCCTGTCCAACTGGGTGATTCTTGCATAGTTCAGACATATAAATATCTTAGAAGCATTAAAAACATTTCAAGGCTTTTGTGCTCTCAAGGACACTGTAACTGTGTATCAACCACTACAGTTATGCCCAAATTTGACACTGAACCTAAAGTCAGTTAAAATCACGGGCAATTACTTTCTGTCTCTGTTATGGATGGCTGGTGAAACTCTCCAAGAAAACCCATTGCTGATTTTAGCTGCCGTCCAACAGGAGACAGATCGGTATTTTGGCGACACAGACACAACTGCTTCCCTGCAACTTGGCCACAAAAGACCCCGTTTGAGCTGACTGGGTAGTAAAACAAGGGGTCAGCAGTGAATGCAGAGAGGCAGGAAAGGCACAAAAGGGAAAAAAAGGTTTATCACTCTATAATGTACTGTTCCTTCATCTTTGCTGAAAGGTTCCCACCAAASTTGGGCTTACCCTAATAAATTCCATTGCTTCCATTGCAGCAACTGTGTTTCGATTGAATTCATCTAAGTTTTCTGTTTTAAAAGGGTTTTATTTTCCAACACAGTAGCCTACGTGGGGATAGAACAGGTGGATGGTGCATTGAAGCTGGTGCTGTTTTTAAATGACCGAATTTGGATTTTTCTTTAACAAAGTAAACTAATAAACGTAAAGGAATTTTAAATACATAATATCCACTAAAAATAACAACAACGAATCTTAGAATTTGCTCATATTCCCCAGYTAATCAGATTAAAGACGAGCTACATCTTCTACTTGAATATTTTAAGGATTTCAATTTACCAAAGAATGGTTGAAGACATTCTAAAAAAGTTTCTAATTTTCAAAAAAATGTGTTTTCTGTGACAACTACATTCAAGGCTCCAGTATGGCAGGGAATCACCTAAGAGTGGCAACACTATGTCCTTGCAAGAATACACACACACAAATAAACCTTACAAAAGTTACCTGATATGAAAGTACTCCATGAGATGAGGTATTTATAAATAATGAGCTTTCAATATTGCCTTCTTCTGTTGGCAAAAAGAGCACTCTGAAAGAAATTCTTCCCATCGCTGGAATGACCTGGGGAGGTCACAGAGAAGCCTGTTGTTCAGCGCAGTTAATCGTGACATAAACATTCAGCAGCACAGCTCAGTACACATTTCCACATATATCACCTGACACTGGTGAGTCCCTCAGACCTGAAAATTCCCCCTGCCCATAGTGTTCAAGTCTCACTATTGGAGAAGAGCGGAGAGCATTCAGCACGTTGCTGTATTAAACCTGGATTTTCTAGGCTAGCTCAGGCCTAGTCAGTCAAAGCTCCTTTTTAACACAGAATTTATTGCACAGCATTGACAACCCCTGTGTCTGATAAAAGACATCTTTGCATAGATGCCTTTAACAAAACGAATCATTCACCTCTGTCACATGTAGTTAAATGAGTCAAAGACAAACCCAGGCAAAAGAAATAGTAACCAAGTACGTCTGTCTAAACTTATTAAGATCAAGAAAATGTGATCAAGTTTATTTCTGCGTAGTGGTGGCAATTTAACTACAGTAAAAATACAAAGCAGATACAAGCTTATAAAAAAAAAAAAAARAAGAAGAAAAAACACCTTTGCACATCAGCAAAGACTCTGGGCTTCATCGAACTGGGATAACAGCAACTCATTCTTAACATGCATTACATTGTTGTACTTCATAAAAATAGCAGAATTAAAACAATGGTCCTAGATAATGTAGCAATCATGTTCATAACTGCACTGCAAAATGCATAAGAACGCTCTACTCTAAATGTGTGGAAAAGACTGAAAATTCARGGCTGTAAACACCCACATGCCTGTGAGTGACTGCATAACACTACATATTACAGAAAGATTTAAACAGCCAATTTAACACTGAAGACTTTTTTTTCCTGAATTACCGTAAAACACATTTCTTACTGCAGAATTTGGATCTCTTCTTCTTTCACACCTGTCAAAGTAAAAGTGAACAAAAAAGCACTAGCAAAAACAGAGAGAAGAAAAAGTCAGAGGTCCTAAGAAGAAGCACCAAGAGGGAACACAGAATGCAAACTTTAGGCCAAAGAAAGCATGAAAGTTTGGCTCTTGGCCATTGCATAGTTTCCAAAAGTACATCAGCACTCACCCTGCTATGAACAGGAGACACATGAAACTGTCTAGTAGCTGTAAACACTGAATTCACTACAACTTCTCTATCTCTGCTAGGGTTGTAGGCATGCAGCATTTTAGCTCTGGGTAGCCCCAGGAACCTGCAGGGGGAAAAAAAAGGGAAATAAAATGCATATAGGCTGAGGCAATGTACAAAAAGCAAGAAACACAAGCCACACTGAAACATACTGAAATGCAACTACTTGCCAGTTGCATTTAGAAACATACTACATGAATTTTGTCCTTTAACATGCAAAGACAAGTAAGAAACACTGGGATGCAAGAGCTGCAGCCAGCCAAAACCCACCTTAGTCACTGGGACATCATGAAGTAAAAACCAAAAAATTACCTTCCTAAGCACAATTTCTTGTATAATAACAATAAAAAAAAAGTTCAAATAAGCAAAGTCTTGTTTTGTCACTTAAAAGAATAGCTCACTCATAGCTATTTTTAGCCAGTATATCCTAAAAAAACAGCAGCTTATACATCCGTTTTACCTCCATTCTTACATGCACAGCCTTGGGAACATTCCCTGAACTCACAAGGAGCCTACAGTTTCATTTCTGGTTACTAATGGAACAAAGACTAATTATCATCAAAAACTTTTAAAAGTTTTCTTAGAGGAGACCTCAAAAACCTTAAATATTCTACCAGTGTAACTGTCTGGGGGGGGGCGGGATTTTATTTTAAGGAATAAATCAAAGAAAGCAACAAGCTCCCTCTCAACCATAAAGGCAACTGATCAAGACATGAACAAGCATCAGGAAGGTCTGATCTGAGGTCTCTTCAGATCCACCTAAAATGACCGCAGTGTTCAGAGTCTGCTCGGAAGCTGTTAGGGTTCCCTATTCCCTTTTCCATTTTTCTTAGAGGTAGGTTGATTTCCTCTCGGCTTTGAAATCCTGCAGGGCAGAAGCATAAAACCAGCTCGGTGGCAGGGACCGTTTCTGGCATTGCCAGAGGATGGAACCGTCTGAGCTAACGCCCTTGGCCCAAACTCAGCCCAGATTAGTGGTTCCTCTCCCCACGCCACCCGTAGCTGAAAGAACAGTAATAATGTAAGAAAGATACTCACTGCATTCCAAAATGCAGGACTGACGGCTGGAAATGTAAGGCCTTCCTGTTCGGAGGCATCTTTGTTGAGAAGCTGGAGGGAAAAAAAAAAGAGAGAAAAAACCGCTATTAATATTTCCGGGGTGCCAGCTATACTATACACAGCCACAGTCAGCTTTTTATTTTGTTATTTGTATTATAAACACCCTGGATTTCCCAGCCTTTCCTCTTTCCGCCATACATCGGACCTGTTCAGTTTTCTGTATAGCAGCACGAGCTGGAAAACACATCCTTAAAAAAAAAAGAACAGCAACAGCCTCGTCTGATAAGCATTTTAAGCATTTCCTTTCCTCATTTCACTCTAGAAAGCTTGACCCTTCCAGCTCGCATCCCCTCATCACTCCGGCACAGCTGCCTCTGTGTCCGTGCAGTGAACGGCAGCAGGGACACAATTTAAGGGACTCCAAGGGGAAAAGCTGGGCCCAGAGGAAGCCCCGCGGCCCCATCCAGCCCACTCAGGACCCCGGCAAGCGGCTGTGCTGGCTCAGCCGAGCGCTGTGCAGCGACAGGGGTAACAAGGGCACAGCTTGGGCAGATGCTGACATCAAAGGAAGCACTCGTCTAAGCTTTTAATGCAAAAGCCAACTCACTTCTTATATGCAAAGAGCAGTATGGAAACACACACGTCATCATCTTTCCTTTGCCCAAGGAAACTCTGCAACAGAGCTCCCGCCATTTCTAGCAGGTTTTTAGCCTATTTCAACACAAGTTGATGCCCTGTAGTGCAGAAAGAAACCCCAGGACATCTTCACCACGTTCTTGGTTAAAACTTGCCTTCCACAGGCCTAAACCACCGCAGAGAGCGGCAAGAGCAAGCCCAGCGCTTGCTGAGCACAGCTACACACACGTGCTGAYCACGCTGCCAAACCTTCCCCAGCAGCAGCCTGAATCCAGGGCCAGGAGCAGGTTCGTGTTCCCTGGGGGATGCTGACGGGCATCCCGGCACGGGGAAGGGCGGGCAGGGCTCACCAGCTTCACACAGCACACGGCGGCACCGCGACGCGGCCCCCGGTTTAACCCAGCTCTGCAGCTTTGCACCTTGCATAAAGCGCCCACAGAGTTCTGTGGTTACACTTCAAAGCAAGGGAGACATACAATTTATTACCAATAAATAAATAAATGAAATCGGTAAGGTTATTACGGGAACCCTCAACTTGCACAACCGCATTTCTCACACCTGGGAGGCAGTTCTCCCACCGCAGCAGGAGGGATGGAGTGTATCCACGCAGCACGTCCAGGGAGCTACTAAAAAGGGAGTGAATGACCAGGGGATGCAAAACTATACAGTCTGGGCAGGCAAAGGTCCCTTCCCACTGCCCCGTCTCTGCCCTGCCAGCCTCTTCAGCAAGGGCACAGCAACCAGCACGTCCTGCCTCTCCAAACGTCATCCCCAGAGGTCCCCGGCAGGGAACTCTGAGCACTGCYCTTGTAAGCACAGTTAAATCAGAATTACTGCTGTAATAAAAGGCCCAGGCATCTGCAGAAAAGCACATTTCTTAAGKGTGCTTAAAGCCTTTTATTATATAYGCACACACATAGAATAAAAAAGTATTCTCCGCAGCAGGTGCCCAACACGCTGGGTGCAAAGGCAGCTGCGGATGCAGGAGGCTGCATTTCCCTCTGCTAGCGAGAGCAAGGTCCCCATCGACTCCATCCTCGTCTCACTTGCGGATGCACCTCAAGTCACGCCAAAAACTCCTCGCCCGGCTGCAGACGACGTGCCCGGAAAAGTTCACGGGGCCTTTCATGAGAACGCTACAGGCTTGGGGAACGTGCAGATATCAGCCTAAGAACACAAGTCCTGAAACAACAAATACGGAGGAGCAGCCCTCTTCATYGCAGGGGAGATAAAAATAATAATAATTGCCACCAGGAAAAACAGGTAAACACCAAGGACCGTCTTCATGTCACAGTGCTCCCTTAGCCCACAGGGCTAATATTTTATATGCAACATCCATGACACAAAAGAAGCATTTGCTCCAGATAAAGCAAAGGCCCTTTCTCCCAAAGTCTGGGAGGGAAGCATTACGGAGTGGGACAAGGAGGAATGGGGACAGGACCCTCTCCATTGCATGTTATCCACACTTTGCTGCCCACAAGCACAAGGAAAGGATTTCCACCAAAAATCCAAACAAGTCCTTGTTTTCTCTGACTACATTCTCTTCCTTTTTAGTGAGAACCAAGACAGTTATCCTGCACATTATACATATAAAAAATGGCAATCTGCAGAATAAACTGCTTCTAAGCAGAAGTGCAGGTGACCRAAGGGAAGTTCACCCCAAGATTCCTTTGTCTCTATAAGCTCAATAAAAGACAACCACTACAAAACTTTACATTTACACTTGGCATTTTGGCACTTCATATGTTCCGAGTGAGGTATGAATATGAACCCGTCCACAGAATGAGGTCTGGGTAAACAMAAAGCGTAGCTGCCTTACACAGGAAAGCACAGTTTTTAATATGTAAACTGAAAGTGAGAAATGAAACTTAAAAACCTCATTTACTGACAGATCTTAGGCTCACTCCTCTAGACTGTGTCTGATAAACAAAAAGGGAGACTAAGAGGAGGAGAACAACACACACACACACGGAAATAACCGAAACAAGATACTCTTATCAGTTCTGCCTGCAGCTGATGTGAAGGGTTTTTGACAAACTAAAGTGTTAACTAAGGGGAATTTAACATAGAAATAAAAACAGACCCCCAGCAGCAGCTGAGCTGGTCTTCTGCAGACTCATGCCAAGCTTATGACAAGTCATCTCGTATCTCTCCTCTTCCTGCTGCCCATGTGCTAWAAAGGCAGTAAAAGCACCAGGCAGTTACACAGCTCACACTGCAGCTTCTGGAAGATGGACAGCAGCTTAAGAAGAAAAGAAAAGGTGATAATAATTCCTCGGACATGGTATGTTTGAGCTGAGGGGAGCACACAGAGCCCCTGTGCAGGCTGGGGAGGCTGCACGCGAACACCGCAGCCTTCAGCGCCTTGCTTTGCTCCTGAGGGAAAAAATGCCTAGTTGGGAGAAAGATAAAAAAAACGTGAATTTTAAAGACTGAAAACCTAGAAGGCGAACATCCCCCCCTATTTTTAGCACYGCATTGTTTAGGGAAGAGGGGGAGGGCTGACTCATTTCTTTTGAATGCTTGGGGATTGGCAAATTAGCCTTAGGAATCCATTCACATGCCTGGCAGCAGGGGCTGCAGCTGGGAGGAGGCTGGTTGGGGTCCCTGCTCTTCCGGGACCGAATTCCAGAGGGAAGGGATGATACCAACACGAAGCAGGAGAGGCCAAAATGATGCTGCCCAGCGAAAGAAGTGAYGTGCCCCTGCACCACTGCATACAATGCATGTGTCACATGCAGGCAAATAGGAAAGCAAGCCAAACCTCACCCAATGAGCAAAAAACAGGGATCTCGCTGAGAAACAAATCCCACAACCTAGAGCCAGAGACACAGCCTGAGGAGCCAGACTCCAAAGCCCAGTTTCTCAATGGGATGTAAATATGCGGGATTCCAGCACGGAAGGGGAGGGCTTGGCAGGAAGCAGTGGGAGAAGGGGATCCTTTCTGCTCTCCGTCCTCCCGGCTGCGTGCGTGTGGTTGCTCCTTAACAGAAGCAGCACAATGAGGCGTGTTTAACAGCAGGCTGGAATTATCCTCTCCCATAAATCCATCGCCAGCCTCTGGAATAACCGAAATCCGCACCGAGTTAAGAAACGAGTTTACGATGACTTTAGCTTGGTTGAAATTGTTCTCCCGAGATCTCTGCTTTCAAATCCTTGGGCCACCAGGATTTCAAGGAAMAACGTCATCCCTCTAGAGAAAGGCGGAGTTTATCGGCATTTCGGACAGATTGCCCACCCAAAGCAACATGGTGCTTCACAGAGGACATGAGCAGCACTTCATAACTGCATCATTAGCCAAGTTGCCTGGTTATTTTAAAAGCCGACGGGTTTTTTAAGCCAGCAGTCCAGGATGCACATGGAGCACGAGTCTCCCCTGAAGCATCTCCAGCAGTGCCAGCGGATCTTGACATCCCGGCAAGCTCAAAAGCCACCTTCATTTTCATTTTTTTTCATCTTATATTGAGACAAATGCCTGTTCATTTTGCAGTGTTTCAGAAGGAGAGCCTTAGGTACTTCAGAAAGTACCTAAGAGGATGATAATGGAAACAAAGCCTTTCTTTCATCTTTCTTAGCTTCTTTATGATTTAACCCTTTTAAGAAGTCAGTCATCTTCTAATTGTTAACAGCATGGAAACCATCACACGCTTACTATTTCTTTGGTTCTTACCGAGACAAACCCAAAGTGTCACTCACCCAATGAAATAAGTAACTCAGGACTCTCTCAGAGGCCTCTGCATTCTTAACACTTTATCTTGAATTACCAGGCCCTGCAATTCTGGGATTATGAGAAAATCTTGTATTCTGTTTCTTTTTAAGAAATGCTTCCAGCCCATGAGGATGCAAAGTAAAAACACAAATCCCAAAGGCACACAAAGCAATTTGCGCTATTTTTAGTTTTTAAAGCTCAAAGCTTTTCAGCCAAATTYGCTTTTTTCGCCCCCCTCAAATAACTTATTTGTCCTCTAGTTGCCAAACCCTCCACAGAAGCGATCTTCCTGCATAACCCAGGTTTGCCCTTCCAAAACTGAAGCACTTCACAATCCCAAATCATTTCGGACGGAGCTGTTAACTTTCGTCCATCTAATTAACAAGTATAGCCAAGAAGCCAACCTGAAAGCACCCTGGCCTACTCCATACACATAAACAAACTGCTTTTTTTTGGAGAACGCTCAACACACAATTCAATAGTTTCAGGACTGGCTCCGGCGCCGTCAGCATCGCGCTCCCTTGGGTGAAAACCCCGTGCAAACCCAGTCGCAAGCCCTGCACGCAGACACCAGCAGTTTCAAACAGCCGTGCCCTGATGTCAGCGTGTTTTGCTGACAGTGACCAAACCTCGCAGCCTACCCCTGCACAAGAGCTCGGGTGAAAGGCTCTCACAGAAAGCTAAAATACCCACCACGTACCTTGTG